CTCTTCAAAGTTGCTAGGTGGAAGAATCGCGTATTGCAGTCCCCTTCATGAAACCACTGAGCCCGGGACTTTTGGAACCAGAGGATTTCTTCTTGTTTAAGAACCTCCTATAGAGAGGTCCGGACTTGTTCTTCTTCCAGTTGGGTTGCTGGTGCAGGCCTCCTCTCATTTATCATTTCGAGTTCACTAAGTCGGTGCAGCAGGTTCCGTTTCCGGGCAAAGATATTACCAAACACTTTTGCATTCCATTCCTGTAATTCCCTTGTCAGGACCGCCAATTTCGAGGAGTAGTCCACCCCGTGACTCCAGCCCTCCTTTAGAACTCCGGAGAAGTCCTCGTGAAGGAGCCATGGAGCAAGGAAGCGGAAGGGTTTACCCTTAGCTCTGCGGGGTTTCCGGCCTGCCGTTGCAACAAGCAAAGGCCGATGATCCGACTTTACTCTGGGGAGATGCAAAGTCACAGTCTCCGGTTATTTTTGAAGCCACTGGGAGTTGTAAATAGCACGGTCGAGTCTCTCCTGCAGCTGATTGGCGCCCTTCCAAGTGAATCTTGGGCCAGTGAAGGGTGCATCAATGAGGGCACACTCTTCCACGCAGCGACGAAATTCCCGGCTGCTCGAGGCATTGAACTTTGCACCGCCCCTTTATTCATCCGGGCTGAGTAGAGCATTGAAGTCTCCTAGCAGCATCCAGGGAGCATCAATTTGCGTATTAAGTCTTCTTATTTCCTCCCAAAGCAGGTCGACGAGTCACCATAGCAGGGGAACCATAGACAGCAGATACGAACCCTACATCACCCGTGGGAAGCTTAAAGCTCATATGTAGGATTTAGTCTGTAGTGTCCTCAACCTGTAAACCGAGCTCCCACGAGTTCCACAGGACCCATATGCCGCCCGCGAAGCCTCTCGCCTCCACTCGGCGATTGGTATCAAACCCCATTTTCCGAACCACTTTGTCCGCCTCTGCTCCGCTGATTTTTGGTTCCAGAATAAACACAACATTAGGATGATGAAGACGACGAAACTCATGAAAATGAATGAGAAAATTGGGGTCAGCAGCACCCCTACAATTCCAAGCAAAAACTTTCAACATTAAAAGAAAATAATAAGAGTAACCAAAAGAGCACAGGAGTAGGAGACTCCCCTGGTCAATCACCGTTGTGCCACGTCCATGATGGACGTCAGCATCTCATTCATGGTCTCGCTAGCACTATCCTTTGTGCTGCCGTTCTTCGAAGCATCCTCCATGGTGAAAAGAGCATCTCTGTTGAGGTCCAGGCTACGTGCGACCGGTTGTTTATTGTCCGGGGGCCTGCCCGTGGGTTTACTATGGTGCGTTGTCTCTCTAGTTAGGGCGGATTGGACAGGAATATGACCACTTGTGTTCGTCCCATTTTCCCGACTAGCCACAACTTCCAACTTATCCTCGCTCCGGGTTACGTTGCCATTGATTCCGTGGAGAATTTGGTGATGACTAATGGATGTTCCATTCTGCTTCGCCACTGGGTGCTCCTTGATAATCAAACTATTATCATATCCATTACTATTCTCCCTCTGCTGGGTTGGCACCCACACTTGCTTTGACTTAGCATCTCTCGAAGGTTGGCTAGGTTGCGACTTTGGCCGATCTCCATCATGTTTAGCCGCACTGCTGTCGTTCCCAGTCATCACAGTGTCCTCTCCGCCATCCTCGGCCCCCCGCACCCTAGCCAAATTTTCCTGGTGTTCACTCAGCTCGTCATTCAAGCTGCTCAGAACATCAAATCGAGAGCCCGCTGGGTTCATCTTTCCCTGTGCTGGTCGTTGGATAGCCTTTTGTGAGGCGTCCTTAGCTCCTATGGGTCTGCGACGCCTGTTGCTCGAAGCGATCATCCACGGTCCATAGTCTTCAAAGATCTCTGGCCTTTCCTGTTCAATAGTGGTCTTACTTTTGGGAATATGGGCCGTCCTGAACACCTCATCAGAGGGTGACTCCATCTCCTTCTTGGGACAAGTCTCATCTGTATGCCCATATCTCCCACATGTAAAGCACACCTTGTGAAGTCCCTCGTACTCAATCCGACGCGTGCGTCGTTCTAGCTTGTATTTGCATATGAGTGGACGAGACAAATCAACCTCAACACACATCCTCGCAAAGTGTCCCCGCGTAGCTTGCCTTGTAGCTTCATCAATCTTTACAAATCTACCCACAGAGTTACCCACATTAGCAATTAGCTCCTCATCATAGTAATCCATTGGTAACTTAGGCAGACGTGCCCAGACGAGAGTCTTTGACAGTTCTTCATCTTCCGGTTCGAATCCTCTTGTCCATACACGAGTGAGCACATAGTGGTCTTCGATCATCCATGGCCCTTCCGTTAATGCTCTTTCGTAGTCTTGCTCCGTAGTGAAGCGAACCGAGTAGAAGCCTCGTCCCATTGCTGCCACGGTGATCGGACCCGTCCTGGCCCACATACTAAGGAGTCGACGCTGGAGCAAGAGGAACGGGAATGAATGACCCAGGACCCGGACGACAAGAGCTCGTTTCCAGCGTGCACTGCGGCGGCTGTGAAAGCCTTTCGGGATGGATATCTTCGGGCAATCCGACTCTCCTTCTCCATCGCTCTCGATCGGTTCTGACTCTTCTTCATCGATCATCTCGCTATCCATGTGTGATTAGCGTCCCAGAACTTTGTCCAAGTAGGAGCCCCCCGCCTTCGAGGCTGTAGCCCCAGTAGGGTTCCCTATCTCGGTATCTCGGGCGTCCGCTGTTACGACGATTGCAGCTGTTGTGAGAGTTTCCACGTGCATGGCTTCTTCCCCTGAAAAGCCTGTATCCTTGGTCTTCGACCGCTTTGAGACCTATACCGGCGATGAGGTCGGAGACGTGTTCACCGGCTGGTCTGATGGATGGCTGGAAGGGTCCAGCGGGACCGCCGGCGGGATGCCGGCGGCACTCATGAGCAGAAAACCCTAAACCCTAGGCTAATGCGATTCCGCAATTCTCGGAGCAAAAAAAGTCGCTTTTGCTGGTCTCTAAGTTTGGACTAGTTAATGAGTTAACTAATCTTTTCATTTTGTTTCAAAATACCTCATTGTGTTAAGTCATACAAATTAGTACGAAAAGAGTTTCATTGGTATTATTTTAAGCCATACTTGAAGAATGGTTTGGTCCAGGTTGAGTTTGATTTCAAATGGACCATCAATAAGAGACAAACATTTTTTTAGTTACTTTCTTACTTAGTTAGTAATTTGGCTAAAATAATGATTTATTAAGTAGCATCAGTTGATTTTTTATATGATATTGAAACCTTTGGTCGCCGAGTCCTAATAACAACAAATGTTAATGCTTGATTGGTGCACAAAGTGTGAAGGTATGATGATGAGTCTGTAGAAGGATCAAGTGTGATTGTCAGTGATAGAGTCAAAATTTGAAATTAGGTATGCCATATTTTCAAAAATATAAAAATATAAATAAGTATTTAACATATATAACAAGAATTGAGTTTCTTTTTTTAGCGGTCAGACACCCTTATCACCATATGTCACCTTAAAATGGTGAGTTAAATCCTTTGTATAAACATAATGGGGATTTATTATTTCTTACCGAATATTTACTCGTGTTTTGTGACATAGGCTAAACTCCCTACCTCCGTCGTTGCGCTTGCCTTTGGCTTGTAAATGTGGGTAAATGAATGACATTACTCTATGTTAAATTTCTACCCACAACTCAACTCATTGAAACCAGCTGGACGATCGAGACAAAAAAACTTGAAGTAGGTAAAGAAAGTGACAATCACGTTAGGCCCTGTTCACTTCCATTTTCGTTTCCTGTTTTCTGTTTTCATGTTACAAATTTGGGAAACGAAACGAGAAAACATGTTTACTTTTCATTCTGTTTTCTATTCGTTTCCAACTCTGAAAACAGAAAGTGGCAAATTCCTACTGTTTTCGAAAACGAAAAAATGTCGTTTTCACCTGTTTTCAACATCTGTTTTCTCAAAAACAGGAAACAGAAATGAAAGTAAACAGGGCCTTAGTCTCTACTTTGAGTGACAAAATCATTAAAAAAAAGTTCAATGATCTATTTGCTAGTATCGTTGAAGTTTAGTGACTACTTATATATGGAACCAGGAACCCATCCTTTTGAGTTTTGACTGCCTGTAGTCTACGCGGCTTGGCTACAGGAACTTTTAAATTAGGAAAACTTTTTTTTCTTTTTGCACGAAATTAAACGTATCCTAGTCTGTATACGGACCAATATAATTTGGTCAAATTCAAGCTTACATAAGGATATATTTTATTTTGCCAAAGAGTAAAAAAAAAAAAAAAAAAAAAGTTTACCCAGTTGAAGAAGCAACTCATATGGGTCAGCACTTTTATGTTGCAACAAAACATGTAACCAATTTACCTTACGTAGTATTATAATAATTTATTACAATTGATATCACTCACTACAACTTGTTTTTGTCTTTGGCACAAATATATTTTACATGCAACATCTACTTTAGACTTTAGATTGAATGCTACTGCTGAGTTAATTAATGACAGTTGCATAGAGATAATAAAACAGACCCAAAATTTGTGTACGTGTCATCCCAAAATTTTACCATGATGTCAGATAGGGAGCCCAACCCAATTGGGCCGCTTGAGAAAACTAAACTCATATGGGCCCCGAAGTCCAGTGATTGAGTCTTGTTCACTGTGCTGCTCGATCGATATTAATTTATAGGCCCAGTGATATTGCTGCAACTAGGACTTGGGAGTGTTTGGAACGAGAACGCGGTAAACGAAGAGCCACATTTAATGATTCATACACCCCAGATTCACAAGTTGAAAGCTATCAGCGGAAACTGGAAAGGCGCTCTAATGGTTTTTAGGGCTTTTAGGCAAAAAGGCCCATGTACGTTTTTTTTTTTTATAAATACAAACCCAAAATGATTCAGTCGCTCAACGTACGTACGCATTCAACCCTAACAAAATTCCCTCTGCACGCCTTTTAAAAAAAAAAAAAATAAAGAGATGGCAGACAAAAAGATAACCGGAGAAGTGATCGGAATCGACCTAGGCACGACCTTCTCCTGCGTGGCCGTCGCCGGAAAGGACCGTACGATAGAAATCATAGCCAATGACCAAGGAAACCGGACAACCCCTTCCTGGGTCGCCTTCTCCCCTGCCTCCGCCGGCTCCGAACGTCTCATCGGGGAAGCCGCCAAGAATCAGGCCACTCTCAACCCGCGCGGGACAATCTTCGACGTCAAGCGACTCATCGGCAAAAAATTCGACGACCCAGAAGTCCAAAACGACCTCAAATACCTGCCCTACCCCGTCGTGGAGAGAGACGGAAAGCCGTGCGTCGAAGTGGAAGTTAACGGCGAGCTGAAAACTTTCACGCCGGAAGAAATAAGCGCCATGGTGCTAGGGAAAATGAAGGAGACGGCTGAATCGTTCCTTGGGAAGGAAGTAACCAACGCCGTGGTCACTGTCCCAGCCTACTTCAATGACTCCCAGAGGCAAGCCACGAAGGACGCCGGCACTATCTCCGGGCTCAATGTTTTACGAATAATCAACGAGCCGACTGCCGGCGCCCTAGCCTATGGTGTGAAGCTTGATTCGAAGAGGAAGGTGAATATTCTTGTGTATGATTTAGGTGGCGGGACGTTCGACGTCAGTGTCTTGAATATCGACAACTGCGTGTTTCAGGTAAGTTTAACTTAACGAAAGAAGAAAAGAAAAAGAAAAAAAGGATTGCAGACCATTAACTTGAAAATGAAAAACCATTAAAATGTGCTCGCAAATTTGACAACCACCTTTTAGCCGATTTGTTAATTAATTACAAAATCAGAGTAGGGAATGACAACCCTTGTAAATTTTAGGTGCTTGCAACGGGAGGTAACACGCATCTCGGCGGTGGCGATTTCGACCAGAGAGTGATGGACTATTTTGTGGACTTGATCAAGAGAAAGTACAAGAAGGATATCAGTGAAGATCGGAAAGCTCTTGGAAAGCTGCGGAGGGAATGCGAGAGGGTGAAAAGGGTAATCTAATGATTAATGAAACTCTAATTGTCGTAGTAAGTCTAGCTAATGTACAAGGTTCTTATATTTTACTCTGTACACTCTAATATTTGCACTTAAATGTCTAATAGGTACTTAGCAGTCAAACACAAGCTAGGGTAGAGATTGATTCCTTAACAGAGGGGATGGACCTTTCGGAGCCACTAACGAGGGCAAGATTTGAAATTTTGAATTTGGATTTCTTCGAGAGGACATTAGAGGTGGTGAAGTTGACACTGCAAGATGCAAAGGTGGAGAAAGGTCAGATTGACGAGATTGTGTTGGTTGGAGGAATTAAGCACAAGAATCCCTAAGATAAGAGAGATGTTGAAGAAGGATTTCGATGGGAAGGAGCCGAGTAAAGGGATCAACCCTGACGAAGCCGTGGCTTAAAAATAACTGATTACACAATCATTGTTTTTATGAACAACCGCAAAGAGATTTCATATTGTGAAAGAAACGCAAAAACATTCGTCGTCTACATTATTAAATAAGTCTTTTTCAATGTATCTCGCTAAATTAGCATTAGCAAATTAGTTGCCAAATCGACCTGGAAACTTGTTTTTAATATAACTCAAAGCTGAAAATGCTCTTTTTACATTTGCAGTTGTAATTCGTAGAATCAAAACTACTGGAATTGCCGTTGTCGCTAGACAATTTCAGGGTTGTTGGGGGAAAATCGAATAGGCATAAGGACAAAAGAGATATGATTAGGTTTTATTGCAATTAGAATTCGTTTATAGTATAATAAATTAATTTTATGTCAATTTATGAATAAGTAATGAGTTGTGCTGTAGTGACAAAAATACTCTAATACTACCTATAGACGTTGTTTTCCATCACCAATATAGATATGTATGACATATTTTTGTTTCTCCGAAATTTACCCCTATTCCGGAACAAGGCCCAATGGGCCTCCCTCTGGTTATAGTTTTCATTTTTTTTTCCTGAGTTCCATTCATTTCACTTGATAACTTTATGTATTGGAACTGTAGGGTTTAGTTTATTTGATGTCACTCCGCTAAGTTTGGGGACGGATATTAAAGGTGGTGTGATGTCTGTAGTCGTGCCTAGAAACACTGTCATTCCTACAAAGATGTCAGAAAGGTATTACACTGTTCACGACCAACAGACTGCTTTCGGCGTAAAGGTTAGTTTGATTGAATTTAAACTTAAAATTGTATGAACCTGTTCAATATTTCAAGGGCAGCTTTGCATCCGAGCTGTATATCTTGCTGGTCACATTAATTCCAATATGCACTGCACACGTATATGCTTACTCTAAACTACAGGTGTTTCAAGGGGAAAGACCCCTGACCAAAGATTGTCTTGGACTGGCAAGTTTCACTCTAACGGGCGTTACATCAGCTCCAAGGTATGTATAATTGATCCGTGTGGTTGTATTCCATGACTATCCAGCACTCCCGAACAAGATGATCAGTCAACTGCACGAGTGTTATATATTGTACATATTTGGTTTTGTAGAGGAGAAACATCTATCGATCGATTTGACATTCGATGTTGATGCGGATGGGATACTAAGTGTTACTGCCAAGGAGATAGGAACCAACAATTCTAAATCCCTCACCATTACCAGCTACAAAGGGAATTTGAGCGAAGGGGAGATTGAGAGGATGGTAAGAGAGGCAAAGGAGATGGCTGAGCAAGACCAAAAGGAAAAAGCGCGTATTGATGCTAGGAATCGATTGGAGAATGACATTTACGATGTGAACAAGGCATGGATGATAAGTTGGCCGAGGTTAAAAGTGCCCTGAGGGAAGCTTCGGAGTGATTGGAAGAGAACGAGAATGCATCCATGCAAGACTACGAGGAGAAAAGTCGAGAACTGGCAGCTCTACGGGACCTGTAGTGATCAGCAAAGCGGTTATGGAAACCTTAACGAGATGCAGAGTTTTCTATTAGTATATTTGTTTACTTTAGAGACAAGGCCAGGCTTTCGATCTACCTCTAATGCTTTAACTTATTTTTCTCGCGATTGACCCTAGCTGTTTTATTTTAGTGAAAAGTGCTGCATGCATGCACGGTCGGCTTCGTCCGTGCATCTCAGAGTCCACCTTTTTTATAATCTAATTGCAATTTTGAAGTACTGGTTTAATTATGTACTTCGTTAATTATTGTTCAACCATGTATAAATTATAATATTGATAAATAAATAGCTAGATAGTAAAACCTTACTGAGATGGGTAGAATGACCTCTTTCCCTATTTCTCACCGGCCATATACTAATACCATAATTCAGGAAACCGTATCAGACATCATACCGGATTTTTTTCTAGTAGAATATTTTGTGGTACGACCGTGATTCAATCATTTCGTACCGGTAATTACCATTTTTCTAATAATAAAATATATTTTTTGTCAAAATATCGTGCCGGCAAAATCAGGATACCGTTTCAGAATAATACCGGATATATCAAAATATACTGGACAATAAATACAACTAATTAGAAAATTTAAATAATAATTATTTTTATAAAAAAACTTACCTCATTTCCTCCTCCCCATGCAGCCTTTAATTCTGCCTTTTCCCAATTTTCCATTCTTTCTACTCTCTCTCTCTCACCCAACCATATCCTCACCAGATCGCAAACCAAATCTCAGCCCCCCACCCCAAACGCTCAAAGCCAAATTGAAAGCAGTCCCTACTCCCTAATCGAAAACTCCCATCTCTTTGCCGCCATTAATACCAGAACAAATATGTTATAAAAAAACCCTCTTTCCCGTTCATCTCGCCTTCTTACTGAACAGGAAGTCCGAAACCACCGTCGCTGCCCGCATGCAAGCTTTTTTCAATACTTCTCCTGAAATCAGCGGCTTCCCCTGTTCCTCTGAAATTAGTGTCGGAGTCCAAGGAAGGAAACCGATCTGGGACGGATAGCGGAGGGAAACCAGGCCCGCGGAGACTACATCTCGCGTTCTCTTTAGTCGACTGTCGAGCAGGCGGCGTTCTGGAGAAGAGGAGGAGCGGCAGGGTGAAGTGAAACCGAAACAATGGGGAATAATGGATCAATTAGGGATTAGGCCATTAGGGTTGTTAGTTTGCACGATTTTTTTTTCCAATGATGGTATCTCGGATCGTATCGTAAAAACTAAAAACCGGCCGGCGCGTAATTTGCTTGGTAAATAAGTGTCGTATCGTCCCTGGTACGGTTCCCGGTTGAACCGATCCGACTTTCTGTTCCATGACTAATACTAGTTTTGACCCTGACTCGTTTACTATAATATTTTAAGCGTTTGAGTATTCATCTTCATGAAAACATTTTTTTAAGTGTTGGTTGAATTTTTTACAATGACGATTGATAACTCAATTCTTAGCATTAAAGCAATAACAAGAATCAGTTTAATGAGAATTTGTAAACCTTCAACATTATTGATGGGTGGGTTTGTCCCTATGATTAGGGATGATAATTTCGACCTGACCCGTTTTACCCGATTTGGTTGTCCTGTTTTGGGCGGAACTGGCTTTGTGACCGAACAATTTTTCGTTTGCTTATGTTTAAAAAAATGGATGTATTTGTAATGCACAAAGAGAAATTGGGAGCTCCCATGCACTAGCTATTATAGTTTGAGCCAAAAGTAGCGATCATGCCCTTGATTTATAGTCTAGTTCCTACAAAAATACCAAACTTAACTAGCATGAACATGATCATGTATATATGACGGACTATGTTATATATCCTCTTGCCAAATCCCCATCTCTAAACCTTTGGAACTTGGGAGTGTTTATTATATGTAGACAACTTATAAGCTCCTCCACTTCCCAATTCATACGAGAACGCGGTAAACTAAGAGCCACATTTAATGGTTGATAGACTTGATACACCCCACATTCACAAGTTCAAAGCTATCACGGAAACTGGAAAGGCGCTCTAATGGTCAAGGCAAAAGAGACACACGGACGTTTTATAAATACAACCCATAATGATTCAGTCACCCAACACATGCAAGCCTAACAAAATTCCCCTCTGTCCTTCCAAAAAAAAAACAAAAAAATGTCAAACAAAAAGATAACCGGAGAAGTGATCGGAATCGACCTAGGAACGACCTTCTCATGCGTCGCCGTCGCCGGCAAGGACGGTACGATCGAAATCATAACCAACGACCAGGGAAACCGAACCACCCCTTCATGGGTCGCCTTCTCTCCTGTCTCCGCCGGCTCCGAACGTCTCATCGGCGAAGCCGCCAAGAATCAGGCCACTCTCAACCCACGTCGTACTATCTTCGACGTCAAGCGACTCATCGGGAAAAAGTTCGACGAACCGGACGTCCAGAACGACCTAAAATACCTGCCCTACCCCGTCGTCGACCGGGACGGAAGGCCGTGCGTTGAAATAGAGGTCAACGGCAAGCTCAGAATGTTTACACCGGAAGAAATAAGCGCCATGGTGCTGGGGAAAATGAAGGAGACCGCGGAGTCGTTCCTTGGGAAGCAAGTCACCAACGCCGTGGTCACTGTCCCGGCGTATTTTAATGACTCCCAGAGGCAGGCCACCAAGGACGCCGGCACCATCGCCGGGCTCAATGTTGTACGGATAATCAACGAGCCGACGGCCGGCGCCCTGGCCTATGGTGTGAAAAAGGACTCGAGGACCAAGAGGAATATTCTGGTGTATGATTTGGGTGGTGGGACGTTCGACGTCAGCGTTTTGAAGATCGACAATGGTGAGTTCAACGTACTGGCGACAGGTGGCGACGCTCATCTCGGGGGTGGAGATTTCGACCAGAGAGTCATGGAGTATTTTGTGAACTTGATCAAGAGAAAGTATAGAAAGAATATAAGTCAGAACTGGAAGGCGTTGGGGAAGCTGAGGAAGGAATGCGAAAGGGCCAAAAGGGTAAAAAATTAATTCAAACTCGGTGGTAAATATATTTTGCTTCATAACATAAATATTCATATAACATAATTCTCTTAATATATAGGTATTAAGTAGTCAGACTCAAGTTCGAGTAGAGATTGATTCCTTGGTTGAGGGGATGGACTTTACAGAGCCACTGACGAGGGCGAGATTCGAAGACTTAAATTCTGATCTCTTCGAGAAGACGTTGGAGGTGGTGAAGAGAACATTGGCAGATGCAAAGGTGAGGAAGGAACAGATTGATGAGATTGTGTTGGTTGGTGGAAGCACGAGAATTCCTAGGGTTAGAGAGATGCTGAAGAAGGCTTTTGATGGGAAGGAGCCGAGCAAAGGGATTAATGCTGACGAAGCCGTGGCTTATGGGGCTGCTGTGCAAGGTGCTATGCTCAGTAGCGACCAAGATGGACTTGGTACGTTGATTTCTTCAAAGGCTTAGCCTCGGAAGGCGTCGTTAGATGCCTATATATCTTGCATGCATGGTTTTCACTTCCTTGTGTTCTTTTCCATTTCTCTATTATTATATAAAGTGAAATTGCTATCTGAATGGTAGGTGTAATTCTATCCGATGTCACTCCCTTGAGTTTGGGGATCGGAATCAAAGGTGATCTGATGTCTGTAGTAATACCCAGAAACACAGTCATTCCTACCGAGTTCACAAGTGACCAGTATTTCACTGTTTATGACCACCAAACTGCTGCAAATATCAATGTTAGTTACGTTGGATTCCCATCCATTTTGTTTATTCAGTTTATCTTTAAATTTCTATGACACCATTTTACATGCATTTCAGGTTTATCAAGGTGAAAGAGCCCTGACCAAGGATTGCTTTTTCCTGGGATGTTTTGAACTAACTGGCATTCCACCTGCACCAAGGTATATATAACTATATATCTATTATAACTCTGTACGTAAGGTGGGGATGGTAAGATTCAGCAATGATCATGTAAAAGAAACTAATTGCTTGTACCTATATATATGTACTTTTAGGGGAGAATCTCGTATCGAGGTGACATTCCAGGTTGATGCGGATGGAATCTTAAAGGTTACTGCAAAACCAAAAGCAACCAGGAAGTCAAGGTCCCTCACCATATCCAGCTACAAAGGTAATTTGAGTTCAAGGGAGATCGAGAGGATGGTAAGAGAGGCGCGAGAGATGGCCGAGCACGACAAGCGGGAGAAGGAGCGTATTGACGAGAGGAACCGATTGGAGCAGAAGATTTATGATTTGAACAAGTCACTGGAGAAGTCTAAGATTTATGATTCGTCTGATGAGGAGCGTATTGACGAGGTTAAAGATGCGTTGAGGGATGCTTCGGAGTGGTTGGACGAGAACGAGGATGCATGCATGGAAGATTACGAGGACAAAAGACTGGAGTTGGAGTCCATATGGGATCGTGCTAATGATGATGATTATTATCATCTTGATTAACGAAATGGAGATGGTGCAAGCCGGTGCATGGATTCATCATCAGAATTGAGGAGCTCATATTTTCTAATTAAGAGCAAGGTTATGATTGTTAAGGTTATATATGATTATTTTAATTTGGTGGTTGATGCTTATATACGTTGTTTTAGTAAAGAGTATAGCATGGTTGCTTTTTCATCACTCATGGTCCTCTCTTCTTTAATTTGGTATCTATATTAGATGCCTAGCTAATTTCTAGCCATACCCAAATATTACTTCTAGACAAAGCTACAACCTGAACTATACGCTTGATTAAGGTTTAAAGTAATCTATAACCGATCTTAAAGTAATCTGTAATTAACTAGCCATTATAGTTTGAGCCAAAAGTAGCGATCATGCCCTTGATTTATAGTCTAGTTCCGTACAGAAATACCAAACTTAACTAGCACGATAATGTATACTAGTTTTTTTCCCGCGCTTTGCAGCGGTAAGAAACAAATTATATTAAAAAATTTACCCTTTTGGCCCTTTGCAGCGGTAAGTACTTGCCCTACCCTGTTGTCGAGAGGGATGGGAGGCCGTGCGTTGAAATGGAGGTTAATGGCTCGTTCAGAATCTTCACCACGGCCCGTTGAGAATCTTCACAGGGCTGGCTATTTGGACCGGGACCGGATGAAAAACCGGAAACCGGACCGTATAACCCGGACCGAGACCGGACCGGGACCGGATAGTAAACAATCCAATCCAATCTTTGGGCTTAGATTTGAGGTAAAAAACCGGATAAAGACCGGATAAGAGAGCTCAACACCAAAAACTTAAGGGTAATTTGCATAAACGGTCACAAACCTTTGCACTTAGTACAAAACATAACCAACTCCTCACCCTTTTAGGCCTTAGGCCACTCAAATTCCCAAAATCTCAATATAAAATCAAGACCGAATTGGGACCGGACCGGGTCAAGACCGGACCGGATCAAGACCGGACTGTATCCAATCCAATCTTCGGTCCTTATATTTTCAAAAAAACCGGACTGGACCGGATCAATTTGGGCCAATTTAACCGGACCGGACCGTATAGCCACCCCTTCCGAGTGGAGGTTAATTTGGTTTCCAAGATGTTAAACATAGATATTTATATGGAGCTGTGAACACTAAGGTGAAACATAAAAGAATAAGGGTGAAGATGATCTCAAGAAACTAGAGACCCTTTATTGATAGTTCAGTGCACAATAATGTCGGGCGATGAAACATAAGACACTGGGACAACAGAGGCGAGCGGGAAAGAACTATTTAAACCAATTTAGAATTGGTATTATTACTAGTCTCAGTTTTTGGATTTTCTGCAGGTTTGTTAGCTTCTTGATTATGACACTTCTTATAACAATAGATAAGACAATCCTCATAATTCCTCTGCTTACAATGGGTCGTGCAATAATCGAAGCACTCCTCGTAACCTGCAAATATCTGGCTTGTCGAAGCCAGAATTACAAACAACATGACTACAAGCATCATCTTCGTCTTCATCTTCCCTTTCGACTTCGATGTATGAAAATTTCTCAGACTTATGAGGTATTGTGGATGTTTCTCTGTAGCTATTTGCACTCTTTTTGTTCCTCTTATAATTAGGACTCTACCCTCTCGTGGCTTCTTGTAATGGTAGACAAGAGTGGAAGAATTGGATTTTCTTCTATTTACAAGGAAATAGAATGAGCAATTTCCATATAAAAAGATTCGATAGTTAAATGTTAGATATTCTTTGCTTCTTTTCTGTTTGGCAAAATCCTAAAAATTTATTGTCGCAGATTCCTCTATTAAATGATGTGTGTCTTTTATGTGTTTATGACTTTATGGTAGTTCTGTAATTAAAAGCAAAAAAACAACATAACCAGAACAGACGGAGGCGGTGGTGATGGTAGTTCTTGCCGCAATTTGAACTATCTTCGTTATTGCTTACAAAACTAGTGCTTGCGGTGATGAGATAATAAGGGTTGGGCTTTGGGGTTAGTATGTTAAGTGTTTTGGGTTAGTCCTGGGTTGGACGAGAACACGCCATTAACCTCCATTTCAACGAGGATGCATGCATGGAAGATTACGAGGCCAAAAGACTGGAGTTGGAGTCCATATGGGATCGTGCTAATGATGATGATTATTATTATCTTGATTAACGAAATGGAGATGGTGCAAGCCGGTGCATGGATTCATCATCAGAATTGAGGAGCTCATATTAGAACTATTAAACCACAGTCCACAAGTGGCCAAAATTACCAAAACCGAAATGCACCGTTCCTTACGAAAAAAACGCGTTCACTGTTCACGAGAAGGACTTTGTGATTCCCTGCGGTCGAATTCACATTAACTCATGTGTATTTATCTTGGGCAGATTAAGCGTCCCGTTGATGTCCTGATCGGTCACTCCTCCTTACGAAAACGAAAATAAATTTGATGGGTCCCAGCTCACAAACCTTCTTCTCTCTTTCTCTCCCCTCTCGACTAAAACGCTCCCTCTCATCTCATTCAGTCCCAATTCACCACCTCCCATCTCCGAAACCACTGAACGGAGACGCCCGATTTTCCCTCTCTCTCACCTCCCTGAGCCCGATGAATGGCACACCGAAGGGAGACTAACAACGCCAGATTTCCTCGGGAAATCCGGTTTCTTCTTTCCGAAGAACTTCCTCCCTTCTTTACGAAATCAATATCTTCTTCTTCGAGAAATCAAAACCAAGAATTGCAAACTTTGTAAGCAAATCTGGGTACCGAGCTGATCCGATGACAACATTGAGTGCATGCACCTAGACCAGAGTCTACGATTTCCCTTTGAAAGAGAAACATTCATAGAACAGACCTCAGATTTCCCTTAATTAATAGGAACAGAGCCTCTGATTTCCTTTATCCGACACAAGGACAAGGAGGAAGAATAGAAAGCCTCATCCATGCTAAGGCCATCTCTCCATACCTCGCGACTTCCAAAAGCAAGGAAAGATCAAGTTTTAAGGGTGCGCTTATAGTTGCAGAAGAGATTGTTTATCAGTTATCACTCTTCTTTCCCTCAGTAGTCAGTATTATATATGTTGGAATCATGAAGTTTAAAGTTGGTTGATAATTGAGGAAGAGACTGTTGAGAGGCAGAGAAGTAAGAGGAAATATTGGTGGTGACACCTGTTTCTATTTGTTCCCAATCTGATCCCACGTGTCCAACATGCACATCACAAGACTTAATTAGCTTGGTGTAAATAAAAGGGAAGACAATATAAATATATAATTAGTGGAAAGTGTGGATGTGATGCTCTTTTTCTCTTCAACTTCAACTACTAACACACTAGCTTAGCTTTCAGAAACTCCGATTTCTAGACATCTATTCTAAGCATACAACTTCTTCATCACCAAGTGTTTAGATAATTTCACTTTTGATTCTTTGTACTCTTAGCCAAACTAATCAGCAATGTGATTTTGGTGCATTGCTATTTTGCTTTGACTAGCAATTGTCCTCATCTACTAATCTTATAAACTGATCCATTTCTTATCATTGTATGGTCCATTATTTGCTAACTAGATTTCATTGAAAGAGAGGAATAAAGTTGCACAATGGATGGGAAGTAACTCAACTGAAAAAAGAGATCAAACTTTGATTGGATTAAAAGCACTATCAATCAACTAACATAAATAAGTTGTACCTCTACAAGAAACTACCAATTTATCGTTTAAAGATACTATGCTTATCCGAAATGGATGACTATCCTGTGAACAATTTTAATTTCTTAATGGGTATGTAATGGTCTAACGGAAGCCCTATATCAAGCAAAAGAGACATAGCTCCAACAAAAAATCAATTGAGTATACTACAACTTTTTCGATCTCATTGGTTAACAAATTCCTCTCATGGTCTCTTTCGGTAAATTAAGAGGAATTAAATATTCATATTATTTTATATTATATACTTTACATATTATTTTAATAACTCTAATTCTAATAGTTATAAATATTATGATTGATTTGTGAATCAATTTTAGTTGAATGTTTAAACGTGGAAATGAAGTTGTAAGTCATTTCAAATGTGTGCTAATTATTAAGCTTTGGATATGAGATTGAATGTTTTCAACATAAATCATTGATGTATTACATGGATGATAGTTATTTCTTATTTATCAATTAGTTAAACATATTACGTATATATTTTATAATGATCAAGTCATTGGGTAAAGGCTCAATAGGTATCTTACTCAAACTAATTTGTGAATTGCTTGCTATTAACAAAATTATTAAATGATTTGATGAAGGTTTAAATATAATTAGTTTCTTATATGTCGCTGCGAAGCGCGGGCCAAAAAACTAGTTTTCTAATTAAGAGCAAGGTTTGTTATGGTTATATATGATTGTTTTAATTTGGTGGTTGATGCTTAGTTGTTTTAGTAAGAGTATTAATTGCATGGTTGCTTCTTCATCACTCATGGTCCTCTCTTCTTTACTATGATATCTATATTAGATGCCTGGCTAATTACTAGCCTTCCTTCTAGACAAAGCTTCAACCTGAACAATACGCTTGATTAGAGGTTAAGATAATAATAAGCCCTCGATGAGCTTAACTCAGAAGCACGCAGCGGTGTATCAAAAGATGGACGAATTTGGGAATGAAACTTGATGGAATTAACGAACTAAACCAGCAACTTCAACACGAAAGGGGAAGAGGCTAATCTAGGTAGAACTACCACGAGATCAAGAGTGATTATCCTGACCTCTAGGTCTGCAATCCTCGGCCAAACAACCAAGAACCAAAAGCTCGCAAGCTGGAAAACTCCTCGGAGTAATTTCGATTAAACTTCAACGTAACTTTTACAACCTCAAAGCTTGAATATTTATAACCACGAACCCTAAGTACAATCCTACACAAATAAGGCAACCATTCTGAATCAAACAAGGAAAAAGAATACGTTCAACAATCAAAACTTGCAGCCTAAGTAACTAACTTCTCTCTTAAGTAAACTGTTCCAGAACAGCCTTTGATGTCAACTTTGTGGATCTGGAAATCAGTCTTCTGGGTTGAGTCGAGCTCAACCAATTCCTTCCCTTGGTTTAGAAAGTCTTGCTATTTCATTTCCAACTCCAAGCTCCAGCTGGTCATGCTCCAAACGTTGTGAATTCACGCTCAAAGTTGGTATCAAAAACTGTCTTCCTGCCTTAGCCAAAAACTGGCAGATTCCAGAATGCATGATAGGGTTTTGATGGCTTTGGAAATCAATCCTCCTGACCTTATTTCCACAACCCAAATGCATAAAACTATAAACAAACATCCCAGGTGTAAAATGAGACCCTAACCTTGCATTTCCAGTGAAGGGTTTGAGAGATACGGCTTTCCAAAGTACCCTTCCCAAAACTGTCTCAACACTTAGGAAAATTCCAGCCTTGTTCGTATTAACTTCAACCGATCTTTGAACGACTTGTTTGAGATGATTCAAGGGTTGAATTGAGATCATATCAAGCCCCCCTGTTGAAAAAGCTTTGTCCTCAAAGCTTGGGCCTTCTTCTCCTCGAAAGACCTACAAAATTGATCCCAAACTGGATCCGAAATAGGCTGCTCATACAAAGGTCTCACCTGCAAATTTGCAGTTTCCGGCGACGGCGAACTTGCCGGTGAGGATTCAAAAATTGGGCTTTCCAATTCACTCCGTTCTGACCCAATTCATTGCCTCCAACTGATTTCCAGGGTCTCCACGAGTCATTTACACCCATTCCCATGCTTCGATGCTCTTCAAATCGTCGCCAATCGTGAGCGCCAAATTTCCCGTCGTCGGGAAGTTTGAAATTCCCAGAATCCGGCGAACAATCCCCAGATTCCGGCGAGCTGCTCTGAAATTTGGGGCTTTCTTCTACAGCCCTTGCCGAGCCAATTTCCCGATTCCTACACCTTACCTGAGACTCCAGAAGGGAACTCCAAGCAATGGACTGATTCGATTCGTCCCCGAACTCGTCAACCGATTCATCCTTTTTTTGTTCGTCGGCCGTCTTGTGTGGAGGCAAAATTTCGACTTTGGCATCCATCGAGACAGCTCGATTCGTCGAGTTCTGTCCAGTTTTACACGTTGTTGGGCGAATTTCCAACGTGTTGGAGTCAGCTGCGCGTCTCGATTCATCTCCAGCTGCTCCACCCCATTCAGTGCGCTTCAGGGGAGCCGAAATACAGGGTCGGCGCACTCTGCTCCTTCGCGGGACTGCCTTGCCAGCAAGAACAGTCAGCAAATACCTCCTAGCTAGCAACTGAGCCTCGAAAGCTCCTTTTTTCGTCCCATCTTCATCCTTAGCTCGGCCTCGCGCCATATGCTGCTGGTCGGCTCGAATTTCTTCTGACGACAGAGGCTAAGAATCACTTTCCTTCCTCCATGCTCAAACGTATACTGGTTTGTGTGGCCATGATGAGAAACCCTTCGGTCAAATTGCCAAGGCCTTCCCAAGACCAAGTGTGTGGCCTGCATCGGAATGACATCGAAGAGCAGTTCGTCCCGATACTTTCCAATAGAGAATGGAATTCGTACTTGTTTGTTGACCTTGATCACAGCGTGATCACTGAGCCAGTGTAGAGAATATGGCTCAGGTCGAGGGGTCATAACCAAACCCAATCGTTTCACGACGTCGAGGCTTGCTACATTGGCACAACTTCCTCCGTCAACAATCACCGTCAAATTTTTTCCTTTAACCTGACATCTAGTGTGAAACAGGTTGCTTCTTTGGTCCATTTCAGCAGGATCCTCCTCCTGACTTGCCAAGGCTCGTCGAACTACAAACAACGGCCCCTTGTCCGCCTCCATCTCTTCTCCCTCCAAGTTACCAGCAGTCTTTTCCTCGATCTCCTCCTCGTCTTCAGAGTAGTACTGACCATCCCGGAGTACCAAAACCTTCTGGTTAGCACACTGATGCGATTTGTGCCCATAACCATGGCACTTGAAGCATCTAATGGTTCCACTGGTCGTTCCGGTCCTTTCTTGAGACGTTAGAGGAACCTGCCGCGCGGAATTCTTAGGCAATTCCAGCTTCAGTTCCTGCTCAGGAACAGTTTTGGGGCACTGATTGTTGACGTGAACCTCCGTCCTGAGCTCTGCTTCAGTTGCTTCTCCACCTTCACAGCTAATTGAACCACCTCCTCAATTTCCACGAACGGAAACAACTCCACCTGATTTTTGATGTCTCGATTGAGACCTTGCAAAAAACGACTTATGGTGGCTTCCTTGTCCTCTCGAACATCGGCCCGGATCATGAGTAGGTCCAGCTCCCTATAAAATTCTTCAACGCTTCTGCTTCCCTGTCGGAGCAATTGCAAAGCGTCATGGAGCTCACGTTGATAATACGAGGGCACGAACCTCTCCCTCATCAAGCTCCTCATCTCGAGCCAAGTAGTTATGGGAGGCAAACCGATCCTCCTTCGCTTAATGCGAACTTGCTCCCACCAAGCGGCAGCGTAGCCTCAGAATTCGTAAGCTGCCAACGTTACCTTTTGTTCCTCTGTGTAGCTATGGCAGTCGAAGAACAATATTACTTTTCGTTCCCAATCCAAGTAGTCAGCCGGATTAAGGCCTCCCTGAAACGAGGGAATGCTCAATTTGATTCCTCGCAGCTCGTCGACGTTCCCTGTTTCCGGTGGTCGTCGATCATGGTCACGGAATTCGTGATTCCGATCACGATTGTTGTTCCCAGCAAGAATCAACTGTCGCTCCACGTTTCAGATACGCTCATTCAAAGCCTGCGGACTCTGATCATCTTCAGCAAATGATCCCCGCTTCGTCGCGTCCGGCGTTTTCGGCTCTGTTTTCGCCGCCGACTTCAAGTCCGCCAATTGTTGGTTGATGTTGTCGAATTGCACTTGAAATGTGGCGTTCATCTGCGCCATTATAGTTTGCAAAAGCTCCATTGTATTGATCTGTTGCCCTGCCATGATTGGTCCTTCGATTTGAACTTCCTTTTCGGACACAGACTCCAGCTCTGTTTCAGAACGTGATACAACAGGGTCTTCGTCGACGGGACCCTTTGATCTCGTCCAAGGCGGCGTCCTGGACACGTCTTTTGTTTTCCCGGCCACTGTGTTTGAAACCAGGCTCTGATACCACTTAATAAGCCCTCGATGAGCTTAACTCAGAAGCACGCAGCGGTGTATCAAAAGATGGACGAATTTGGGAATGAAACTTGATGGAATTAACGAACTAAACCAGCAACTTCAACACGAAAGGGGAAGAGGCTAATCTAGGTAGAACTACCACGAGATCAAGAGTGATTATCCTGACCTCTAGGTCTGCAATCCTCGGCCAAACAACCAAGAACCAAAAGCTCGCAAGCTGGAAAACTCCTCGGAGTAATTTCGATTAAACTTCAACGTAACTTTTACAACCTCAAAGCTTGAATATTTATAACCACGAACCCTAAGTACAATCCTACACAAATAAGGCAACCATTCTGAATCAAACAAGGAAAAAGAATACGTTCAACAATCAAAACTTGCAGCCTAAGTAACTAACTTCTCTCTTAAGTAAACTGTTCCAGAACAGCCTTTGATGTCAACTTTGTGGGTTTGGAAATCAGTCTTCTGGGTTGATTCGAGCTCAACCAATTCCTTCCCTTGGTTTAGAAAGTCTTGCTATTTCATTTCCAACTCCAAGCTCCAGCTGGTCATGCTCCAATCGTTGTGAATTCACGCTCAAAGTTGGTATAAAAAACTGTCTTCCTGCCTTAGCCAAAAACTGGCAGATTCCAGAATGCATGATAGGGTTTTGATGGCTTTGGAAATCAATCCTCCTGACCTTATTTCCACAACCCAAATGCATAAAACTATAAACAAACATCCCAGGTGTAAAATGAGACCCTAACCTTGCATTTCCAGTGAAGGGTTTGAGAGATACGGCTTTCCAAAGTACCCTTCCCAAAACTGTCTCAACACTTAGGAAAATTCCAGCCTTGTTCGTATTAACTTCAACCGATCTTTGAACGACTTGTTTGAGATGATTCAAGGGTTGAATTGAGATCATATCAGATAATCCGTAATTTCTGTGGCCAAGGTAAAACTCTAAACATGTCCCGTAGTAAGAAGCAAGCGAGATCTGAAATTATCTACGTGCAGGCGATTGATTTATTTGTAATGCACAAAGAGAAATTGGGTACTCCCATGCACTAGCTGTTATAGTCTAGTTCCCTACAAAAACACCAAACTTAACTAGCATGATCATGTATATATGACCGGCTATATCAGTTTTCCTTCATGCTAACGAAACTGATTAACCAGGTTAATCAGTTTCATTTTTTACGAAGTACGACTCCCATAGTTCTTTCAACTCCCGATTTTTGTCCTCGTAATCTTGCATGCATGCATTCTCATTGTCATCAAGCCACCGCGAAGCTTCAGTCAAAGCAGTCTCCACCAAAACCCTATCATTCATACTAACCTTCTCAGCCACATCCTTCTTCAGATCATAGATGTACCTCTCCAAGCGATTCCTCGAATCCACGCGTGCTTTCGCCATCTTGTCGTGCTCAGCCATCTCCTTTGCATCTCTTACCATCCTCTCCACCTCCACTTCACTCAGCTTCCGTTTGTAGCCCTTGATGGCGATGGATTTCGAATTGTTTTCGCTTGCTACGTCCTTGGCCGTCACGCTCAAGATTCCATCCGCATCTACCTCCATCGTCACCTTCATTGCCGCAACTCCCCTGTGTGCGAATGCTAGGCTTAGTATATACTCTAATTTTACCACTAATGATAGATTGTTAGACTCGATCAAAGATTAATTAGACGTACCTTGGCGCCGCGGCAATACCGTCCAGACTAAACCTTCCGAGCCAGAGGCAATCTTTGACCAGGGGCCTTTCACCTTGATACACCTGATATGAGATAGTGATGAGATACAACCCTGTATGGTTAGATCTGTATTATAGATAAACCGAAATCGAATCAAACCGGGAGACATGAACCAAATGGAACCTCGACATTAAAAGAAGTTTGTTGGTCTCCAACAGTAATGCGCCTGCCACTTGATCTCTTTGCAGGAATGACTGTGTTTCTCGGCACCACCACAGACATCACACCACCGTAGCTATTGATCCCCAAACTCAAGGGAGTGACGTCGTATAAAACGAGACCTAACATATTAATTCAAGTAGCACACCACCAAAAATTTCAAACTCCATATATATATGTGTGGCTTAATTACTGCCCTAGAAATAATGTTCATTAAAATAGGTACCGAGTTCGTCTTGGTCCGTACTGAGCATGGCTCCTTGGACAGCAGCACCATAAGCCACGGCCTCGTCGGGGTTGATCCCTTCGCTCGGCTCCTTCCCGTCGAACTCCTTCTTCAACATCTCCCTCACCATGGGGATTCTCGTGCTTCCTCCAACCAACACTATCTCGTCGATCTGTTCCTTATTCTCCACCTTTGCATCCTTCAGCGTCGACCTCACCACTTCCATTGTCTTCTCAAACATATCCGAATTCAAATCCTCGAACCTCACCCTCGACAGTGGCTCGAAGAAATCCATCCCGTCTATGAAGCAGTCAATCTCCACTCTAGTTTGTGTCTGACTGCTCAGTACCTACTAGTAAATGAGCATTGAGTAAAACAGATAACCCTTTAACGACTTCGATTTCAGTTATTACAACCCGAAAAACTATAATGTTTTTCGATTTCAATTTCTTATCAACTTTTCGATACAAAACAGAAACCGATATCCCAGCCCTAAATTCAAAAAAAAAAAAATTTATACGTACCCTTTTGGCTCTCTCGCATTCTCTACGTAGCTTCCCAATAGCCTTGGGGTCTTGAGTAACATCCTTGTTGTACTTCCGCTTGATCAAATCGACGAAATACTTCATCACTCTCTGGTCGAAATCCCCACCGCCGAGATGAGTGTCCCCGCCGGTGGCCAGCACCCGGAACTCACCCTTGTCGATGTTCAAAACGCTGACGTCGAACGTCCCGCCGCCCAAATCGAACACCAGAATGGTCCTCTTCCTCTTCGAATCCTGGTTCACGCCGTATGCCAGGGCGCCGGCCGTGGGCTCGTTGATTATCCGCACAACGTTGAGCCCGGCGATGGTGCCGGCGTCCTTGGTGGCTTGCCTTTGTGAGTCGTTGAAGTAGGCCGGGACGGTGACCACGGCGTTGGTTACTTGCTTCCCAAGGTACAGTTCCGCGGTCTCCTTCATCCTCCCCAGCACCATGGCGCTGATTTCTTCCGGGGTGAAGGTTTTCAGCTCGCCGTTGACTTCAACTTGAACGCAAGGCTTCCCATCTCTTTCCACGATGGGGTAGGGCAAGTAGTTTAGATCACTCTGGACTTCTAGGTCGTCGAATTTCTTCCCGATGAGTCGCTTGACGTCGAAAATTGTCCCACGCGGGTTGAGAGTGGCCTGGTTCTTGGCGGCTTCGCCGATGAGACGTTCGGAGCCGGCGGCGGCGGGGGAGAAGGCCACGTAGGAAGGGGTGGTCCGGTTGCCTTGCTCGTTGGCTATGATTTCGACGGCGCGACCCTTTCGAGCGACAGCGACGCAGGAGAAGGTGGTGCCTAGGTCGATTCCTATCACTTCGCCGCTGATCTCTACGTCGTCCGGTGCTTTTCTTTTACCCACCATTACTGTTATAAACGCGCTGCTACGGATCGGGAAATCGCCGGAATCGACAAAGCAAGAATACGAAAGCGAGAATCGAAAGAACACAGACACACGATTCACGTGGTTCACTAACACGATGTGTGTTAGCTAGTCCACGGGCGAGAGAGAGCCAGTTTCACTATAACGAGGAGATTACAGATTACAGAGGAGTATAAGAAGTATTTATAGTACTTCTCCATGTGGGTCTAAACCTAATCCAATCTAGCAAAGGAAACGGTTACAGACCAGGCCCAGAACCCGAACCCAAATAACATTGAGCCCATCAATGCCCCGTAGGGCGGAGTCACCCACTCAAGACATTCAGCAAGTCCAAGCAGTGTTGGAACTTGCCATGTGGAACCGGCTTCGTGAACATATCAGCAGGATTATCCGCGGTGCCAACCTTCTTCACCTTAATCCTCTTCTCTGTCCTCAAGAAATGATACCTCACATCGATGTGCTTAGTCCTCTCATGGTGGATTTGATCCTTGGCCAAGCATATTGCACTTAAACTGTCGCAATACACCACAACCTGATCATGATGTAGACCAAGATCACCAACCAGTCCCTTCAACCATATTCCCTCCTTAGCAGCTTCTGTCAACGCCATATACTCTGCCTCAGTAGTAGACAATGTCACCGCCGACTGCAGAGTTGCCTTCCAACTCACTACAGAACTTCCAAGAGTGAATACATAACCGGTCATCGATCTCCTCGTGTCAACATCTCCAGCATAGTCCGAGTCAGAATACCCAGACACCAAGCACTCTGCATCACTTCCGAAGCTAATCCCCACATCAGGTGTACCCTTAAGGTACCGGAAGATCCTCTTCACAGCCTGCCAATGCTCCTTCCCAGGTTGTATCATAAACCTGCTGACAACACTAACAGCATGTGCAAGATCAGGTCTAGTGCATACCATAGCGTACATCAAGCTACATATGGGACTCTCGACATGTACTCCTTCTCAGCCTCTGACTGTGGTGCATACGCTGAGGATAGATGAACATTTGAAGCACTAGGAGTATTTAAGGGCTTTGCTGAAGACATGCCAAACCTCGACAATATCTTCTGGATGTAGCTCTTCTGTGACAAGAAAAGCTTCTTCTTCGACCTGTCCCTGTAAATCTCCATACCCAAGATCTTCTGAGCAGCTCCCAAATCCTTCATCTCAAACTCAGCACTGAGAAGCCCCTTTAACTTCTGGATATCAGACTTTGACCTCGCAGCTATGAGCATATCATCCACATACAGAACTAGATATATCATCGAACCATCCTCTACCTTGCTGTGATATACACAACAATCATATGGACTTCTGTTGTAGCCCAGCTCAAGCATGTAACTGTCAAATCTCTTGTACCACTGCCTCGGAGATTTCTTAAGTCCATACAAGGACTTCTTCAACTTACAAACATAGTCTTCTTTTCCAGGAACCTCGAATCCTTCTGGCTGAGTCATGTAAATTTCTTCTTCCAACTCTCCATGCAGGAAAGCTGTCTTCACGTCTAGCTGCTCGAGCTCCAAGTCATAATGTGCCACTATTGCTAGTAGCACTCTGATCGAAGTATGTCTGACCACTGGTGAGAAAATCTCATTGTAGTCAACTCCTTCCCTCTGCGAGAAGCCTCGTGCAACCACCCGAGCTTTAAATTTCATGCCCTCTTTAGAAGTGATTCCTTCCTTCTTCTTGTAGATCCACTTGTTTGTAACAATCTTCCTTCCCTGTGGTCGTTTGACTAGCTCCCAAGTCTGATTCCTGTCATGGGATTCCATCTCATCTCCCATTGCGGCAAGCCACTGATCAGCTTCACCACCCGAAACTGCTTCTCTATAGGACTGTGGCTCTCCTGCATCCACTTCCTCAGCAACCTGAAATGAATACGCCACCATGTCCTCGAAGCCATACCTCTGTGGAGGTACTCCTACAGTCGCTCTCTTCGGTCTACCGGAAGCAATAGACTGTTTAGCTCGTGCACTGGACTCTGAAGTTTCTGGCTCTGCAGAGACATCCTCATCATGTTGATCTTCTCCACCTTGGTGCTCAAACTCACTCTCATTGAGAGTTTGCAGCTCCACCTGCTTATCAACATTCCTGCTACCTTCAGCAACAGTAACCTTCAACATGGGGTTAAACATAGACTTCTCATCAAATATCACATTTCTACTAAGTATAACTCGATGCTCAGAAGGTGACCAGACTCGAAATCCCTTATTTCCATCTCCGTAACCCACAAATACACCCTTCTTTGCCCTTGGGTTCAGTTTACCCTCATCCACATGATAATAAACAGGACACCCAAACACTTTCAGCGAAGAGTAATCAGCAGGCTTACCATACCACACCTCATAAGGAGTCTTCAACTCGATACCTGTGTGAGGTCCACGGTTGATCAGGAAGCACGCCATGTTCACTGCTTCTGCCCAGAATCTTCTCTCTAGTCCAGCATTAGAGAGCATGCACCGTGCTCTCTCCAACAATGTCTGGTTCATCCTTTCTGCAACGCCATTCTGCTGGGGTGTATCTCTCACGGTCCGATGACGGGCAATCCCTTCATCCTTGCAGAATTCGTTGAACTCAGAACTGCAGAACTCCAGACCATTGTCCGTTCGCAGCTTCTTGATCTTCTTCCCGGTCTGATTCTCCACCAATGTCTTCCACTGCTTGAACTTCGTGAAAGCCTCACTTTTCTGCTTCATCATGAAAATTCAAGTAAATCTTGAATAATCATCAATAATAGACAGAAAATACATGCTGCCTCCAATGGATTCAACTCGTGAAGGACCCCAACAGTCGGAGTGGAGGTAATCCAGTATCCCCTTCGTCCGGTGGATACCCTTCTTGGGAAACTTGCTGCGATGTAGCTTCCCAAACACACAATGCTCACAGAATTCCAAATTCTGCACCTTGTGCCCGCAAAGAAGATCCCTCTTTGACAGAACTTGCATCCCTCGTTCACTCATATGCCCCAGTCTCATGTGCCAGAGAGTGGTCATATCTTCCTGTTGAACCTGAGACGATGCAACTGCAGCAGAACCAGACAACACAGACCCTTGTAATGCATACAAGGTCCCACGCTTCACGCCCTTCAGTACCTTCCTTGAACCTTTGCAGGCATACACAACTCCACCTTTTCCTTTGAAGCTGAAACCCTTGCTGTCGAGTAGACTCAAGGAGATCAGGTTCTTTGTCATTCGTGGAACATGCCTGACATCATTCACGGTACAGAATGAACCATCATGTGTCCGAACCTTTATGGACCTGATTCCAACAACCTTGCAGATAGCTCCATTAGCCATGACCACATTACCACCATCTATCTGCTCGTAGGTTGTGAAGCAATCCCTGTTCGGAGACATATGGTATGAGGCTGCAGTATCCAGAAACCACACATCACCACGATGTGCCTTCTCATCTACAGCCAAGGCGAGATCGTCTTCAGAACTGTTGTCCACTTCTGCCACGGCAACTGAACCTTGTTTCTTCTGTTGCCCTCTTCTCTTGGGACAGTTGTACTTCCAATGCCCCACTTCCTTACAGTTGTGACAAGCATCACCTGGGTGTGGACCGGGACCCTTGGAATTCTTACTCGAATTCCCTTTACCAGATTTCTTCTTTCCCTTTCCACCTGTAACAGCCAAACCCGATGCCTCACCACCTGTACCAGATCCGGACGCCTTATGTCTGATCTCTCTCGTATGAAGAGCAGACCTGACATCCTCCAACGACACGCTTTCTTTACCAGCAATAAAAGAATCAACGAAATTCTCATATGAACTCGGCAAAGAAACCAGCAGGATTAGGGCAGCATCCTCGTCATCAACTTGAACATCTATATTACGCAGATCCAGCAAAATAGAGTTAAGCTGTTCGAGATGTTCCCTCAAAGGCGTACCTTCTTGCATCCTCAAGCTGAACAACCGTTGCTTGAGATGCAGCTTGTTGGTTAGAGACTTAGTCATGTACAGACTCTCTAGTTTCAACCACAAGCCCGCGGCAGTCTTCTCAGCAGCGACTTCAATGATGACGTCATCAGACAACGATAACATGATGGTCGAGAGGGCCTTCTCCTCCAGGGTATTCCACTCATCGTCATCGACCGCTGCCTTCTTCTGTTTTGCAGACAGCGGCCCCCACAGCCCTTGCTGTTTTAATAAAGCCTGCATCTTGATCTGCCATATAGCGAAGTTGTTCTTCCCCGTGAACTTTTCGATCTTCATGTTCACCGACGTCATTCTTCTGAATCGAAAAACCTAGCCTGATTTCCAGCCGCGGCTCTGATACCACTTGTTATAAACGCGCTGCTACGGATCGGGAAATCGCCGGAATCGACAAAGCAAGAATACGAAAGCGAGAATCGAAAGAACACAGACACACGATTTACGTGGTTCACTAACACGATGTGTGTTAGCTAGTCCACGAGCGAGAGAGAGCCAGCTTCACTATATCGAGGAGATTACAGATTACAGAGGAGTATAAGAAGTATTTATAGTACTTCTCCATGTGGGTCTAAACCTAATCCAATCTAGCAAAGGAAACGGTTACAGACCAGGCCCAGAACCCGAACCCAAATAACATTGAGCCCATACACCGTGGGCCGGGGGCGTTGCCCCCGCACCCCCGATTACCAGTCGTAGCGGCTGATAGTCCGATTCAAGTCACATCAACAATTACTTTTCTTTGACGATGGTGAATGAATGTTGGAAGTTTGTCGTGTGCAGAGAGTTTTTTAGGTTTTTACCAAAAAAAGAGAGTTTTGTAGGCTTCTGCAATATATATAGGAAAATAAGAGAAACCCTATTCCGAGTTCAGGCGGAAAAAGGAAAAATATAATTATTAGAAAATATATGTTCAATAAGCAAAGGGAGGAGTTACGGTGCTAATTGTACAAGAGTTAGCACCGTTCTAACTAAGGGTTAGTAGTGATTTAGCTTAGATGTTGTATTGATATTATAATAATTCGTAGTGATTTCGTTGTTTTTAGTAGCGTTTTTTGTTAGTTATCACGGTGCTAACCCCTATAAGGGTTAGCATAACCCGTAGCATAACTAAGGGTTATGCTACTAGGTCTTCCTTAATGTCACGCGTGCTTGACTTGGTCATGATCCGTCACATGACTCGCCATGTCGCTCGTCACGTGTGACATTCTTCGCCACCTATTCTCGCGACGCCCTCGTCGCGTTCTTACTACAAAATGCCTCCATCGACCTCTAGCAGCCTCTCTCGACTTTTGAGCCTCGTTGGTGAGAGTACCTAGGGGTCTCCCCCCCCCCCCCCCAAAAAAAATTGAAATTGGTTAGAAACATAAAATTGCTAAACAATTGTGCTGCTGGCGTAGTGGTTTTGTAGCTGAACTAATATGGGTTGTTGCCGGGAGGATTCAGGTACGAACTACCCCTCTGAATATTTATAGTTTACTTTAGTTTTAGCCTCAAGCTCTCCGTGGAGTAGTCCCGTTCACATCGAACGGGGAAACCACGTAAATCGTATGTCTCGTCTTTTATTCGTTACTCGCACAATAGAATTTTACAAAGTCCAACTAAAGAAAGATATTGCAAAGTGCAAACAAAATAAAGTAGGTAATTCGAGAGTGCATATATATGACGGACGTAATTTCTTCACTTTTCTGGTGAAACCTTCTTCAATAGGGCTCTCAGCTTCTGACTTCTATCCTTGTACTCTTGCATGCTTGCACTGTTGTTGTTATCAAACCAGTCTGAAGCTTCTCTCGAAGCCCTCTCCACAGTAGTCTTGTCACCACCATACATATGAAGCTTTTCCGCTATTGCCTTGTTCAAATCATAAATGTCTTGTTCCATTTGGTTTCCTGCTTCAACACGTTCTCTCTCCTTCTTGTCGTGCTCCGCCATCTCCCTTGCCTCTCGTATCATCCTCTCAATCTCCCTTGAACTCAAATTCTTCTTGTAGTTGTCAATGGTAAGGGACCTAGAATTCCCGGTGGCTTCCTCCTTGGCCGTGACGGTTAGGATTCCATCCGCATCAACCTCGAATGTCACCTCCATACGCACAGCTCCACTGCAGTTGTTTGTTCAAAATTTCCCAGAGTTTGAGTAGACTTGCATGCGATCTTGCAATGATGACAACAAAGATTTTACGTACCTTGGAGCCGCTTGAATCCCTGTTAGTGTAAAACTTCCGAGCAGAAGGCAGTCCTTGGTCAGGGTTCGTTCACCTTGGTAAACCTGAAATGATATATGATATTCGTGTACGCATATTAGGTATGATCTGAAACAAAATTATATACAAAATAATTCAACTGGTTGCTATATATAAAGAAACTAACTCTGAAAATCTGACTAGTTTTCTGGTCGTGAACTATTTTGTATCCACCCTTTGATTTCTTTGTAGGAATGGCTGTATTTCTGGGCACTAATACATCCATCAGATCGCCATGGAGACCAATCCCCAAACTCAAGGGAGTGACATCAAATAAAATAGCACCTACAATTCCAAAAAGTACGTAGAATTTGTACCAACCAGTTAAAACTGCAATTATATGGAAAGACAAAAACCGGAAACACAAATACACAAACCAGCTGGTAGGGCTTCGAAAGATTTGCAAAATTACCAACTCCAGCTCGGTCGCTAGTGAGATTGCCTCCGAGGACAGCAGCACCATAAGCCACGGCTTCATCAGGATTAATCCCTTTGCTAGGTTCCTTCCCATCAAACATCTTCTTCAACATCTCCCTCACTTTGGGAATTCTTGTGCTTCCTCCAACCAACACTATCTCGTCAATCTTGTCCTTCTCTACCTTGGCATCTTTTAGTGTCGACTTCACCACTTCTAGTGTCCTCTCAAAAAGATCCAAATTCAAATCCTCGAATTTTGCCCTCGTCAGCGGCTCAGAAAAATCAATCCCTTGTATCAAAGAGTCAATCTCTACTCTAGTCTGCATCTGACTGCTCAATACCCGTTTGGCCCTCTCGCATTGCCTCCGCAGCTTCCCCAAAGCTTTCCCGTCTTCACTAACATCCTTTCTGTACCTCTTCTTTATCAGATCGACAAAATACTCCATCAGCCTTTGGTCGAAATCTCCCCCACCTAAATGTGTATCACCACCGGTGGCCAGTACCTGTCGGGAAAAATTGACGGATTAAACAAGTGATCCTCAATTAACGATCTTAACTTGGTTTATTTCAATAAGTTACTTTGAGTTCTGGTTAACCATTAACGGTTACACATTTCATGTATTATGATCAACTGCTTCAATCAAGGTTCTCAAAGATTTTTTGGCCCATACCTGGAATATGCCGTCCTCGATCTCCAAAACGCTGACGTCGAACGTCCCGCCACCTAAATCGTAAACCAGAATGTTCCTCTTTGTGTTTGGGTCCTGGTTCACACCGTAGGCTAGGGCACCAGCAGTAGGCTCGTTGATTATCCGCAAAACATTAAGGCCTGCGATAATGCCTGCGTCCTTGGTGGCTTGCCTCTGTAAGTCGTTGAAGTAGGCCGGGACGCTAACCACGGCGTTGGTGACTTGCTTCCCAAGGTAGGCTTCCGCGGTCTCCTTCATTTTACCCAGCACCATGGCGCTTATTTCTTCCGGTGTGAAGGTTTTCTTCTGCTCGCCGTTGACTTCCACTTCGACGCAAGGCCTTCCGTCTCTTTCAACGACGGGGTAGGGCAGGTATTTGAGGTCGTTCTGGACTTCTGGGTCGTGGAATTTTTTGCCGATGAGTCGTTTGACGTCGAAGATGGTGCGGCGGGGGTTGAGGGTGGCCTGGTTTTTGGCGGCTTCGCCGAGGAGGCGCTCGAAACCGGCGGCGGCGGGGGAGAAGGCGACGGCGGAAGGGGTGGTCCGGTTGCCTTGGTCGTTGGCTATGATCTCGACGGATCGGCCCTTTCGGGCGACGGCGACGCAGGAGAAGGTCGTGCCTAGGTCGATTCCGATCACTTCACCGGTTATCTTTGCTTCAACCATTGTGTGTTTGATCGGTGGAGATGGAAGTTGATGCGGAGAGTGTTGTAGAGCAACGGATCTTGAGACCGGGAATTATACTATTTCTAGGTCTACAACAAGAATACAGGAAATAGGTTTATTTTAGGGTTTACGTAGGGCGGCTAGGTTTTTTAAAGTATGCTCATATAGTTTCGTCTCCAAACCCTTCTATTTATTGGCGCCCTTGCAGTTTAATTTTCCCTCAATAGTTTTGAAGTGTTTGAATTGTTTCGGCTTATAAATTATTTTAATTATGAAGAAAAATAGACGAGACTAAGAGCATCCACATTGGTATTGCTTCTCAATTGCAAAATGACATGGCATAGGTGTTTGCAATTGCAAAACCAATTGCATTGATGTGGCTACCAATTGCATATTTGCAAGCTTGCAACAAATGCAATTCCATATGCAAGTAAAAAAAGTCTAAAAAAATGGGGATTTTGTATTTTATATTATTTTCTTTTCTCTTTTACTTAATTTTCTATAATTTAAACATTATATTTAATTATATTTGCAATTGCAAGTTAATTGCATTGATGTAGGTGAATGAAATGAATGTGATGTGGATTGCAAAAATTTTGAGTTGACAATAAAAAACACAAATGCAATTTCTTTTGCAATTGTATTGATGGAGATGTTCTAAGTCAAACCAAATGCAAATCATATTTTTGGATTGGAGTGAATCTACGAATACGTACCCATCCTTGAGCGTGAATATCTTTTTCACGAATCTTTAGAATGTTCAACTAGGAATGGGCATTTGGTTTAGAGGAGTTTTAGGGAAAATTTTGTAGAATTTGATGATGCGGAATAACAAGAACACGAGACAAACGATTTTACGTGGTATCCTTGATCGATTGATCGAGACTAATCCACGGTGAGCTCATAAGAGCTCACGGCTGATCTCTTATTAGGATTACATCTTGACGGCTTGCTATCACACAAGTCGATAGCTAAGCTTATATAGATAAACTTAGGGTTAAAACCCTAATCCAACGAATCAAACGTGGCCCAACAAGGCCCAATACTAAACACGGTTTAAGTAACCGCAACAAATTTTATCTCCGCAAAATTAAGCAACAATAAATAATATCTTTAAATAGTGAAACTATAAAATAAATCGGATTTGATAAAATGATTTTACGAAATAAAGTAAAATATGAGTGATAAGTTTGACTGGTCAACTTAAATCCACTCGTATTTTAGTGAATTATTTTGTAGGTCCAATTGAAACACCCAAATAGGCACGCGCGTGTTTGCAAACTTTAAACAAAAAATGGACACAAAATACTATTAATCAAAACATATCCACTAGAGGCGAATATATTCATAATGCATTATCGAGTTCGAGCCATGATAACGCCTAACAGGGAAAACGGGAACATAAAGGACAGATGAAAAAGCACCTATCGAAAGGAGATAGATAATAGATTGACATTGTTCTAGCTTTGGACAGTCACGAGTCACCCGCAATTATTTTCGAGGTGTTCTTCAAAGAGGAATAAGATCAACAAATAATGAACTGAGGTGGGCTTTCAAGAGGTAGGAATTTGTATAGCCATCTTCCTTTTCGTATATAACACTAATTGAGCGTGCGAAGTTGAGAACACGGTCTGTGAGGGCTACTAATAATGGTGTTGGCTTTTGGCACGCTTCAGCAATGTCCTTCCATGCTTTAGAAATCTCCGTCCAAAGAAATTCAACTGCTTCATCCTCCGATGCCATATGCTCCTTTACGTAGCATTCTACTGCTGAAGCTGCATGCTTTCTATTTCGCTCAAACTGAGAAAATACACGGAAGAAAATATTCAGGAGCATATTAATAGAAATTAAATGCGTGTTTCGTCTTTTACTAATTAATCATGTCTATCAGACAAGAAATGGGTGGAATTCTAGAAAATAGAAAGGTAAATCGAAAGAAACAACGATAAAAAAGAAAGAAGAAAATTTTCAATCCTTCTCCTCCTAGGCCACCGACCTTCTCTCTCTTTTTCCTACCCAAAACATGAAACTTACTCACAAGAAAACAATAATCAAATCCTAAACAAATACTAAAAATCAATCCAAATCATACTACAACTACCAATATCAATTAATAACCCAAAGCAATAGTGAAATGCGAACTAATTAATAAAAAAACTAAAAAAATATATGAGTTCAGAAATTCCCAAATTATCACGACGACTCATCTCGTTACACATCTACGTGACATGGCCTAGGTCGTAAATGTCTTGGAATACATATGTAATGGTAATTACCTTGTGAGAAACAATGTCATTTTGAAGCCTAAAAATGATAGAGCCGGCTCTAACCATCTTATTAGATTCATTGATCACCCATTCAAAGGCCTCTCTGGTGGCTATTTCTGCTCCCATCCCGACGAAAGCAGAAGTGCAGAGGATGGGACAGCAACTGGTAATATATGCGAACGCCTTGTACTCCTCTAGCGTCGGAGCATTGCCTTTGCTACGCCACTGGATCTCAGTCAAGTGGGAGCGACACAATTTCTTCAGCTGCATATATAATAACAAGAAAACTTTAAGTTATTTCATAAGAAAAAAAAAACTGAATTGGCAAAAGAAAGAAAAAAAAAACTTAAAATTACCTCTTCCTTAGCATAATCAACTGCAAAAGTTGGTCCTGTTTCTGCAAGTTTCGTTTCGATTTCATCATACACGTTTATGATTAGACGATACATGTTCTTCATCGTCTCGGGTAGCTCTTCAAGTGCACTCACATCGAACCTGAAACAAGCATATGTAGATAGTCATTGATTAAGATATTGATGCATATGTATATATTCATTTGACTTTTTTTATTTATTTTAATTGATAGGTGATAGATCGATGCAGCGTAAATAGTGACTAGTTTGTGCATGTTTTACTATAAGTTAGTTAATTTAGTCAAAATCTCATGGAAGAAACGAACCTCTGAATAGCTGCGGTCAGGATCTCAACCTCATCATGGGTACCAAAGTTATCGTAAGTGTCGTCCAACAGTGACAACAACGATATGATCTTGACGATTATCATCCTTGCCAAGTGATACTTGGGCTCGAAGTAAACCGCATAGATCCAATAGTAGCACTCGACAACTCTATCACGTGCATGTCGAAAGTTGACCGCCACATTAAGACTTTTCCACCACCTATATATATATGTGTGTGTGTGTGTTTGGTACAAAACAACAAATTAAGGTAATTACTAGGCTAGCTAGTATAGCTAGATGACCAAAACACAAGTATTATGAAAGTCGATCTGTGCTTAAAATAACACAAGTCCGAAAACTGATCATCACCTTGTGACTTCGTTGAGTTCTTTTCGATGATCACTCTGCAGCATGTTGAAGTCCAGCTTCGCGAACACGAGGAGTTTTTGATTGTGGGAAGCATCCTCGGAATAGATATCGATGTAATGTCTAGTAAGTGACCTGGGGACACATTTCCAAATTGGAAGGCGGAGGGCGAATTGGACCTGCTTTTGGAATGCAGGGCTGCAGATCTTGTGTGACTTGAGGGTCTTTGTTGCGAAGGCCAGAGCTTCGTCCAGTATTCCTTCTCCATTCAAAGCTACATGTGCTGCCTCGTACAAACTCAACAGGCCTTGCTCGTCCGACTCCAATGACGCTTTGAACCTCCCTTCACCGTCTTTCAATGTTTTGAACCCATCTGCCAGCCACGTGCATGCACATGCATCGTTAATTAATTACGAGGGTTGTTATTAAAATTGTGATTAATATAGCTTGCTACAAATGAGAATAATATATATATATATGAAAGAGTTCAAGGGTAAATATATATGAAGCAGTGGATCGGAGAAGTTAGGTTGAAACAAGGAGGGATAATACTTAATAGGATCCTCAAATTTGACATGTAAGTAAAATCAATCACATGTAAAATTCATATTTAGGAAATACATTAGTCGGTAAGGGCTTAACTCTAGTGAGTAGTACCTAGATACTAATTCTAAAAATATATACATTAAGATCAATTTAATTAGGAACAATAATCGATGGTATTGATTTGCTAAAATTTAGCCAACATATTAGATGCATAGTTTTAGAATTTAGGATTTAGTGTTTAGAGAACTAGGGCTTAGGGTTTACTCATTAAAGATTGTGATATAGTACCATAACACAAAACTCGATTAATTTAAGATATAGATATAATTTTTCACTAAGAATATACAATATCTCTATATTTACCTTGAATATACGATAAAAACCACTATGTAAAGAGCATATTCAGAGTGTTCTAAAAGGTATATGTGGGTGGGTATATACATGACATATATACATACCAGATGAAACATGAAATCCTTGTTGTCTAAGGAGTCGAAATCGAAGAGCAGCATGGTAAAGATCATTATTGTCACCATCCACGATGAATAATTTGTCTCCAAGAGCATGCACTTTCTCGAGTGCTTGTTCAATCTCTGCTTCAAAGTGATACCCAACACCTAGCTGCTGAATTGCATCTATTAGGCGCAGCTTTTCGGCAGTTCTACTCTTTAGCTCATTTATGCTACTGTCATCTATACTTTCATCGGTTGTCACCATCTTCCTCACCTCTTCCTTCAAAGCTTTATGTAATCTTTCGTGTACAAGGCCACCCTAATAAAATATATTCCATACCACCACAAATCACAGAAAAATTTAGGCATCGTTTGGATGAGTAGTTCTAATGGATCATTCTCGCATAATGTTCTCGTTTTGAGACAATTGGGCCAGATTGCTCTGTTTGGCAGCAAAAAAATTGGATGAAGCAATTTTGGCTGAGAATTTTGAATTGACTCATTTTGAGCTAATTACAATTGTCTAAGGGAGGGGGCAGGCAATCTGAATTAGCTCGTTTTAAATGACTCATTTTGTAAAGTGAAACAATTGATCAAATTGTCTTGTTTTACAATTGATCCATCTATACAATTGTCTGGGGGTGGGGGCAGTTCAATCTACCGGAGTCAATAAATTAAGATCCTACTTATATACTATATATAAAGGTGACAATTTGAATCCAAATCCAGCGATCCAATCTAATTCATCCACAAAAGATCCAACTAATCCAATCCATTTAAATCCAAATACAATGAATTGGTAATTCATAAATTGGTGTAAAATTACAGTTATTACCTATATATTTTATATTTTAAAATGTCATACCTAAACTTTGATTTTTGTAACAGAAATCGACATTATGATAGTACTTACACCGATTAATTATAGGAATAGTAAAAGAAATAACGACGGAAAAATGATACTATGTTAATCCTATAGAAGGTTTGGACCATACTAATTATGAGATGTAATGGTTCACGTTAGCAGTTGTAGTCCTACAACTGCAAAAAAAAAAAAAAAAAAAAAAAAAAAAAAAAAACACTACAATACGGTAAAAATAATTATTGGTATTATGCTTGTTCGATCGGAGTTGTAGTCTTACAACTGTAAAACAAAATAACGATTAAAACTACAAAACCAATAATTACAACTCATGGTATGTTATCCCCTTTAGTGATTAGCAAGCTAATCCATCCAAATTAACTAACCTGGAGGTACTGATTATCAACTTCGTTGACGAAGCGGTCACCCCAAATACTGTCATGGAAGCTTGCGGAGTCCCGATCCGCCGACGGGGATGAATTAGCAGACATAACGGGAAATGTAGGAAGGAAAGAAAGAACTGAATGATAGTTCTGAAGCTTAATTTGGGTGCTTTGATTGTGTACAGGATGTGACTATATATAATACACATGTACATACAGCAGAGAGACTGACATACAGATCCATTACTGAATTATCAGCAAGCCCCATAAAAAGCTTTTTTTTTTACTACTTCAGTACTTTGGTAATCCATATTTGAGACTACTTTTGGTAATCCATATTCCTCAAATATTATATACGGTGTTGCTGAACATTTTGGACATCGTTGGATGAACAACTGCCGGTTGGACCGATGTCACTATTTAATAACGAAGATAATTTAGCTCGTGATAATGAGATCTCAAATAGTGGTCTGCTTTAACTAACTTGTGTTGTGCTTTCATAAATTTATGATCTGATTTATGAGGTTTCTCGTATATTTTAGCAAATTTGTGATGTGCTTTAAAAAAAACTTGTCGTATGCATTATAAATATTTTGGTATTCTTCCTAGTATTTGTGGTTTGGTTTATGACTTTTGTGGTATGGTATGTTTTATAAGTTTTCTAGTATGTTTTATAAATTTTGTGGTGTGGTGAGGTATGATACTTTTGTGGAGTTGTTTGTTGTGTTTTCTTGTCTCCAATTAATGCACACACCACGAGTGTGTCAACCTTTCCAATTTTTTATTAATGACAAACATGTCCATTATTAAATCCGCATCAATTGTGGTCAACCCATTGGAATAAAAAAAATTATCAAAATGAAATACTACTATTGACTAGAGACAATGTTAGCGCCATTCTAACAAATTGAATATTAACACCCTAGTTCTTCCTACAAAGCCGACTATATAATAATATATAGGGTTGTTAATGAACCAAGTCGCTCATGAACGACTCGACTAGATAAAATCTCGTTTGATTAAGAAAAAGATTTACTCGTATATTAAGAACCGAGCATGATATAAGCCTTGTTCGACTCGTGAGTCAGCTTGACTAGGTGGCTTGTTGAGCTCAACTCGTGAACTCTTTTGTTTTGAGCTCATGAGATGTCTCGACATTGTTATTCGTGAGCCAACTATACTACTGGCTTATGAGAAAATTGATCTATATCATATGAGTTGGCTTGTTGATAATTCAATGGTTTATTGAATTGCATATCTCACATGCTTAAGATTTTGAGTATGTGAGCAAATATGTCTCATGTATGTATGACATGAGATCAGCCAACCACATATATCATATATGATATATATAAATATTAGGGTTTAATTTAGAAATTATTATAACATTGAACTTGAAATAAACTCCTGATTTTAATGATTATTAGCCAAGAAGATTTTAATAAATGAGTCAGCTCGAGGTTAACTCTGACTCAGTTTGTTTATAAATGAGCCAAGTTCGAGCTCGACTCATTTATTAGGAAAAAATCCAAAAGTACCACTGTTTAAAAAAAAATTCCAAAAATACCACCAAACTCCAAAAAATTCCAAAAATACCACCCTTTTTCAAAAACCGCCACCCCACCAAGCGGTTTGGTCGAAAACCGCTTGTCGGGGGCGCGGTTTTCTATGCAAACCGCGGGCCTAGGGGGCGGTTAAAAACAAAATTGGACCAAACCGCTGGGTGGGGTGGCGGTTTGGCCCAAAACCGCCACCCCAACCAGCGGTTTGGTCAAAAAAAAATTTTCCCGATAAACTCCTAACTTCGATCGAAACTTCAAACAAACGTAACTTTGCACTCGGGTATCCGATCGTAGGGGTTTTTTTTTCATTTCGCATAACTTTTCAAGATCTACAACTTTTACTAGGATGAAATTTTCAAAACAGGAACTATTTGTGTATATACGGGACCTTGGGAATAACTTTACCTTTACTTTTCACAAATCCATGTACATTTTGAAATTATGATTATATTAAAAGTTGTAGATCTTGAAAAGTTATGCGGAATAAAAAAAATTCATGACATTCGGATTTTGGAGCACAAAGTTATGGCCGGCCAAAGTTTGACGAAATAAAAAAAAAGCTCGTTCGGGGTGGCAAATGACGTTTTTTCGAGACGAAGACAGGACCTGGCTGTTTGAGACTTGCAAGATCTCAAAAAGTTATTTGGATTCAAAAAATGGAGGCCGCAAACTTTTTGAGATCTTGCAAGCCGCAAATCGCCGGGTCTCGCCTTTCGTCAAACTTTGGGCGGCCATAACTTTGTGCTTCAAACTCCGAATGTTATGAACTTTTTATTGATTCCGTATAAATTTTCAAGATATACAACTTTTAATATAATCATAATTTCAAAATGTACATGGATTTCTGAAAAGTAAAGGTAAAGTTATTCTCAAGGTCCCGTATATCCACAAATAGTTCCTGTTTTGAAAATTTCATCCTAGTAAAAGTTGTAGATCTTGAAAAGTTATGCGAAATGAAAAAACAAATCGCTACGATCGGATACCCGAGTGCAAAGTTACGTTCATTTGAAGTTTCGACCGAAGTTAGGAGTTGATCGGGAAAAAAAAAATTTGGACCAAACCGCTGGGTGGGGTGGCGGTTTGGTCCAAATTTTTTTTTATAACCGCCCCCTAGGCCCGCGGTTTGCATAGAAACCGCGCCCCCGACAAGCGGTTTTCGACCAAACCGCTGGGTGGGGTGGCGGTTTTTGAAAAAGGGTGGTATTTTTGGAATTTTTTGGAGTTGGGTGGTATTTTTGGAATTTTTTTTTTAAACAGTGGTACTTTTGGATTTTTTCCCATTTATTATCGAGCCAAAACTAAATAAAGTACACATCGACTCGAGTCAACTCATTAACAACCACTGAGGTATAATTTTGCCGCCTCCTTTTCTTATTATTAAACTGACAATATTCTTTCACTAGCATACCCACTGTGGCGTATGGGACCACATACATGTGCTAAGCCTTGATTAAGCATGCTAATCCAACTGTTATAATGACACAAATTAAGGGCAAAACAAAAAAAATTAGAGAGAAAATTAAAATTAATTAAATGCTTCCATGAGGAGGAGAGAAGGCGGCCGACATGGGTTGGCTAATGGTCGCTTCCATGACGGAGAGAGATTCTCTGGACAGTCACCGACGCAGAGAGCAAGTGGCCGACCGACGAGGTGGCTTATATGACGGGAGTACGGGGCAACGGGGAGAGAGATTCCCATTTCCCATTTTGTTTTACGAGAAATGTCAAGAAAGAAACAACAGCTTGAAGAAACATCCCACCCCCTGTTAAAACCCAACCGGCCCTATTATATCAGCCGCAAAAATAAAAAAGATACCAATTATAACAGAGATAAGGAAAGAGCTTACAAATATCATTCTATGGACAGCTCAATTCAATTGATAACTTTAGGAACCGTCCTAAAGTTTCACCATGGGATATGGTCGACATCAGTTGTAGATGATCACACAACACGAACCCACCTGGAAATGACGGTTAGGGCTGCAAATGAGCCGAGCCGAATCGAGTTGAGCTCGAGCTAGCTTGTTTACTAAAATTTTGAATTTTATTTGGTACTTCATTTTGTATATCATGATACATATTATTTATTTTGTTAGCTAATCTCATATTATACTTTGTTGGTATCATATTTAATTTAGTTAATAAATTTTAACTACTCCAAATCATGTTGTTTCATAGTATCGAAGCAATTTATAGACTATAAGATACATAACTTCTTGGGTAATGTCTATTTTTTATCCAAACCCTTTTCAGATTCCTTTATATTATCCAAACCTATTAAAATGCTATTAATTATCCAAATCTTTCGTAATGCATCAAAATATTAGTCATTTTTACGTTATCGTTAATAATTTTGAACTCTTTTCTTAGTTAAAATACTAACATTTTGAAATTTTGACCTTTATGTGTCTCTTCCAAGTCCCTATCATGTTGCCAAGTCAATATTACTAACAAAATTGCTAACTGGAAGTTAACATTTGGCTAAATCTTAGTATTTTAATAGGTTTGGATAATATAAAAGAATCTGAAACAGGTTTGGATAAAAAATAGACATTACCCTAATTTCTTTTTAAAGTAGAAAATAAGATATATTTGCTCACATACTCAACGTGTTCAACTTCATATATGGTGAGATATATAATTTAACAACCATATGAATTAAAATCATAAGATATAAATTGATTCGTCCATAAGTCGGTAATCGAGTTGGCTCTCTAGCCACATGTTGAGACATATCATGAGCTCTAAACGAGCCAGCTCACGAGTTTAGCTCAACAAGCCACCGAGTCGAGCTAGGTCGCGAGCTTCACTAGCTAAACAAAGTTTAGCTCATGTTCGGCTCGTTTATTAACGAGCCAAGTTTTGAACGAGCTTTTCTCGAATAGAACGTCGAGCCGCTCGCGAGCAGCTCGATTCATTTGCAGCCCTAATGGCGGTTGAGCATAACGAGGATGGAGTCAAGGAAGCTCTGGGTCTCGAGCTTGCCTTCAGATAAGAGACCGGCGAGGATGAAGTCGTCAATGATAAAGAAAAATACATAAATTGAGTACTAAGAGTTCATTTTCAACCATTGATCTATTATTTGCGTATTATCCTCCTCATATCATATTAATTTGAATATTTTAAGTAGTACTTTAATCACAAAAAGTAAAAACATATATCACCCTCAACCATGGTTGTCACGCCGGCCGGCGTGCCACCGGTTGAACCTGGTTCAACCTATACCGGTCATAAAACCGGCGTGACACCACCGGTATGACCGACATGATCGATATACGAATCTCTAAGTAAAATGGCCTTATTTTAGTGAGTTTAATTGATAAAAATAATTTTATTATTTATTTTATGAGTATAAACGTTAAATATTAATGTTATTTGTTGGATTCAAGTATAAATGTTTAAGTATTGACGTTAAATGTCATGTTTAAATATGAGTATTTATAATTTATTTGTAATATTGACCGGCATGAACTGGCACAAACCAGTATGTGCCACCGGTCAAACCATTCCACTTGCTAAACCGGCACACTGGCATAAACCGGTTTGACAACCTTGCCCTCAACAAAACAAAAATTACATCGTTATATAATCTAATCAATTAATGAGTCATTACAGGGCAAGTTGAAGCTATATAAACTATAAAACCATCTCCAAATCAACTCTGAAAAAAAGTTTATGAGCTAAACTTAACGAATCAAAGAGTAAAGCTTAGTCCAAGTTTTAAACTAGTCATCTCGTTAGTTGAGTTCAACAAACTACCAAATTGCAAATTAGGCACGACTGGCTCAAACTTTGCTTGTCTACTAATGAGCCATCCCCATCATACTAAGCTGGCTCGTTAAATAAATCAACATAGAAAGAATGCAAGTGACTTTATTCATTTGAAACCCTAATTGTCGATTGTCCCTTCGGGGAACTATTTGTATCCTGACATTGGACAATTTGGTTCCTTGGATCCTAGTGAGTGATTTCGACGCCATGTTAGTTTCACATGTAAAATTAAGTCCAAGTTTCTAGTTCTTTTTTTCCTTCAAAATAAAAAACTTTTCCCCCCAAAATCCTTAGCTTTCGATAAAAGCGCTACTAAATATTGGGTCTGCATTATTGCCTAAACTTAGATAATTTAGGAATTTTTTAGCAATATTGTATTGTGAGATTTTTAGTAATAACTTAGATAGTTATGTATATTTGAGACTACGCAGATACTTGACCAGTGCCCAACAAACCTTTCTCATTAGGGTATCGAATTCATATCATTTTAAATCAGTAAAATGATATAGTTTTAGAGATAGATGTATAGTTTTAGAGATCAGTAAAGGATGTTTGCATCATTTTAGATCAGTATGGTGAGCGGCGAGCAACTCGTTAACGAGCTCTCCGCCTTTTCAACGTTGCTCCCTTTTCTCGCCTGTACCATCGTATTAACAACCCTCTTCTTGAAACGTAGTTTCATCGGAAGGACCTCCGGCAAAAAGATTCCGGGCCCATGGAGGTTCCCAATCATTGGGAACCTCCACCAACTCGTCTCGGACGCCCTCCCCCACCAGCGCCTCTGCGACCTGGCCCGCGAACACGGGCCAGACCTGATGCACCTCCAGCTCGGGGAGGTGCCACACATAGTGGTCTCCTCCAGCAAGGCCGCGCGAGAAGTGATGAAGACCCACGACGCCGTTTTCGCGTCCAGGCCGTCGCTCCTCGCCGCGGAAATGCTGGCGTACGCCGGGAGCGATCTGGTGTTCACCCGGTACGGAGAGAGCTACAGGCGCCTCCGCAAGATCTGCGTGGCGGAGGTTCTCGGAGCGAGCCGAGTCCGGTACTTCCGGCCGGTCCGGGAGGCGGAGGTGGCCGATCTCGTGCACAAGTTCTCCCTGAGGGCGGCTCAGGGGGAGGCGGTGGACATCAGCAGGGAGATGTTCTGGCTGTCGAGCCGGATCACGTGCCGGACGGTGCTGGGGAAGGCGAGGGAGCTGGACGATGGGTTTCTGAGGATGGTGGAGAGTGTTTCGGAGGTAATGGCCGGATTCAAGGTGTCGGATCTCTTCCCTTCCCTGAGATTCCTCCCGGCGGTGACCGGGTATAAGGCTCGGCTGAGGAGGATGCATCGGGAGATGGAGTCGATGCTCGATGAGATCATTGATGAACACAGGGAGAGAAGAGCGGCAAGGGCAGTACGAGGAGACGGCGGCGATGAGGAGGAGGATCTCGTTGACGTCCTCCTCAATCTTCAAGCAAGCGGTAGCCCAGACTTCGACCTGACCATGGACAACATCAAAGGTGTCACTCTGGTAAGTACTGAATCATTCCCAATCAAACTTAATTAATTAGAGTGTGTTTGGATATATAGAATGATTTGAATTTGGTATTTGTGATTTGGATTTTTTAAATGTCGAATCATTTGTTTGGATACTGTTGGGGTAGTAGAGAGGAGCCCATGAAAATTAAGAGCCCATTGGGCCTTGTTGAGATAGGGGAAAGGGGCTCATAAAAGGAGCCTGATGGGCCTGAAGCCTATGTATGGCCCATAAGAGTATGACCCAGGTGATTGTGAGGGAGCAGGGGCGCATGACGACAAAATAGGCTCGCAGACAAGGGAGTACAGGTGGACAAGGTCAGTAGGGCGCCACGAGGCGGGTGATCCCCCTATGCGCCCCTACGTGGAAAATGGACGGTATGCCACGTGTAGGCGTGTAGGCGCCCGGGGAGACCGAGCATTTAATGCTAGGCTGACGTAAGTCTTGGTGGCAGGAGTTGGTCGGAGCTTGGTCGAGGAGCTCGAGTAATATAAATAGCACTTGGTAGGTAGCATTTAAGCAGGTTGGTCTTTCTCACACTAAACTTCTTTCTTCACTTCTCTCTCTAGAATAGCTTCTGACTTGATCGTCGGAGTGCTAACGGACGGGTCTAGCCCTCCCGGCGCCCGTCCTGCAGGGTCCAAGCGCCAGGCGCGGAGCAAGTGGAAGAATCTCGAGGGTGTGAGAGTATCACGGCATCAACAATTGGCGCGCCAGGAAGGGGGCGTTCGGCAAGATAAGAAAGATGGAAGACTTGAATGTTGGAAGTGTAGGCACTGAGGATGCGAGAACGGAGAATTCCAGTCAGGAGGGGAGTGAGCGGAGATCGAGCCCGGTGGTGAGCATGGACGCAGAGGACGAGAGCCGCGAGCGCCCATCTATGGAGAGTGATACGGTGTCGAAGAGGGAGCTGTTCAAGATTATCGCTGATCAAGACCGAGCTATAGCAATGCTTCGAAGGGAATTGGAAGGAGGAAGGAGCGTTGATACAAGGGAGTACAGCCCCCCGGTGAGGAAGCGGGACAGGCTCATAGATGATTCGGAGGTTAGCGAGTACGGGCGCCCGGGCTATGAGAGCCACAATCCTGAGGTAACACCACCTAGGCGCCCGGGCGTGTGGAGAGCGCCAGGCGAGTGGACCATCCCGGCCCAGGACGAGCAGAACCCATGGACGCCCAAGCGTCAGGCCAGGCGCTTCGGGATCAGGCAACCCCTAGCGCAAAGCGTGTTAATGGAGCCAGCGGGAACTACACTCCCGCCGCTGACCAGCTACGATGGGGTCACTGACCCCGAAGATCATCTGAATAGCTACTTCACGAAGATGCAATTGTATAATAGCACGGACGCCACGTTGTGTAAGGTGTTTCCCTCGACCTTCGCAGGGGTAGTTTTAGATTGGTATCATCAGTTGGAGGAGGGGCGCATCGAGTGCTTTGAGCAGTTTGCAGAGCTATTCTTGTCCAAGTTTGCTAGCCGTAAGAGGCGGACGTTAACTATAGGCGCTTTGTTTAAAATCAAGCAGAGAGAAGGTGAGGCGCTTAGAGAGTTCTATGACCGCTGGATTTCGGTCGCCATGGCTGTGAAAGATGTGCAACCGCCAGTCTTGGGAGTGTGTCTGGAGGAGTGCACGAATAGTGATGAGTTGTGTCGGGTACTGTCTAAGAGGGCGGTAGTGTCGACTGAAGATCTGGATCGAAGGGTTCAGAAGGTTATTGCCTTGGAAGAAACATTGGCTGCAAGGAGGGCAGAGAAGAGGCGTGTGGGTAGAGAAGAAGTAGAGGTGCGCCAGGCGCCTAGGCCATTCATTATGAACAACGCTCCGCAAAGGAGGATGGATGGTCAGCGCCCACAACCCAGGAGTGTGGGAAATTTCACGGAATATAACGACTCTCTGAAAAATATTCTGCAATATGTGAAGGACAGAGGATACCATGTGCGTTGGCCGGGACCTATGCGTGGACAACCAAACGAGCGGAACCTTAATCGATATTGTGACTTTCACCGGGATAAGGGGCATCATACGGCCGATTGCTACCAACTGAAATCGGAATTGCAGACGTTAGCCGACCGAGGCATGCTCAACGACTTCATAAGAAAAACGGAAGAGAGGACGCACCGCGCGTATGTCACAAGGGAGGCGAGGCCAGCGCCTGCTGTGGTGGCTGAACCTAAAGTGCCCGCTCTTCCCGTCGCGCAACAGGCGCCTGGTAACCTCCCGGCGCCGGAGGCCCACCCTCCTCCACTTGAAATACCCCCGCCTCCATTTGAGCTGAATCAGGAGGGGGAACCCAACCGGGTTAGGCTCACGGTAGAATCCATAACCGGGACCGTCGATTTGCGGGACAAGTTGGACCGGTCTAGGCGCCTCCGGGCCGCATCCGTGGAGGCGAAGGCGGCGGTGCAAATATGCTTTAATCAGGAGGCAGAGGAAGCATGTCAGGTGCCTTCGGAGGAAGCTTTGGAGATCCAGGGAATCATTGCAGGGTGTAAGGTCAAGAGGATGTTGGTGGATACGGGAAGTTCAATGGATGTGTTGTTCAAAAGTACGTTCGAGCGCATGCAGCTGGCGCCGGAATTGGTGAGTCCCTCCGATTCGGTACTTATAGGGTTTTCGGGGGCGCCTGCCCATGTGATCGGGCGCGTGCGCCTCCCGGTAACCTTGGGCGACGAAGTGCACCGAGTGACACATGCCGTGGAATTTGGAATAGTGGATTGCCCCTCGCCGTACAATGTCATACTGGGAAGACCACTGTTGGCGTTATTCAATGGGGTAGCCTCGACTTGCCACCAAACGTTGAAGTTCGTCGCCCCCCAAGGCATAGGAATTTCGCGAGGAGAAGGCGCCCCCCGCTATGCGCGAGAAGAGGAAGGAAGAAGGAAGGGGGCACGGAGACACCGAGTAAACAACGTAGACGTCCGGTCGGAGGATGCGCCTAGAGCGGAGCCTGTGGATGATGAGTTCATGGTACCGATCGAAGAAGGGCGCCTGGACAGGCAGGTACGAGTGTCGGCACAGGCTCCTGAACACATGAGGGCGCCCTTGATCGAATTGTTGCGAGAATTTGGGGAGCTATTCGCTTGGAGCCCCCAGGACATGCCGGGAGTGTCACCAGATGTGGCGGCACATCGATTGGCCGTTGAGGAAGGAAAGAAGCCTGTCCAGCAAAAGCGAAGGAATTTGACTCAAGAGAAGGAAGAGGCTCTAAGGAAAGAGGTCGATAAGTTGCTCGAGGCTGGGTTCGTTGAAGAGGCGAGATACATCACATGGCTATCGAATGTGGTATTCGTCCCAAAGCCATCGGGAGATTGGAGGATGTGTGTGGACTTCACAAACCTTAATCGGGCGTGCCCAACAGACGCCTACCCCATGCCTCGCATTGATATTCTAGTGGACGCCACGGCTTACCACGAGGCGCTCAGCTTCCTTGATATGTTTTCGGGGTATCATCAAATTCCCATGGTGGAGGAGGATAGACCGAAGACCGCCTTCATGACGCCTTTTGGTAACTTCTGTTACAAGGTGATGGCATTTGGATTGAAGAATGCGGGTGCCACATATCAGCGCATGGTGAATCAAATCTTTCGGAGGCAGTTGGGAAGGAACATGGAGGCATACGTCGACGATTTGATCGTGAAGAGTAAGAGGCGCCAAGACCACATTGTGGACTTGCGTGAGACATTTGAGACTATGCGCTCGTATAATCTGCGACTAAACCCACATAAATGTGTGTTCCTTGCGGAGGCCGGCAAGTTTTTGGGATTCATGATCACGAAGAGAGGAATCGAGGCCAATCCCAAGCAAGTTGAAGCAATTATGAGGTTGGCGCCTCCCCGAACACCGAAGGAGGTGCAGGGGTTGACGGGAAGGTTGGCAGCGCTTGGGCGCTTCATTCCGAGGTCCTCGGATAGAGGCGCCCCTTTCTTCCGAACATTGAAGAAGGCCAGCAAATTTAAGTGGACGGAGGAGTGTGATGAGGCATTCGGAGATTTTAAGAAGTTGCTGGTCGCGCCTACGGTAATGACGGCGCCCAGGCCTAAAGAGACTCTATATTTGTACATTGCGGTCTCCCGGATTGCTGTGAGTGCGGTGTTGGTGTCTAAAGATCCGTCAACGAATGAGGAGCGGCCGGTGTACTATGTAAGTCGTACCATGGTGGTGCACGAAACGCGGTATGCGCCTATTGAGAAAGCGGCGCTGGCGGTAGTAATGGCGGCAAACAAACTCAGGCCTTACTTCCAGGCTCATAGCATCATCGTGCTCACGAATTTACCTCTCCGAACGGTCTTGGGGTCCATGGATGTGTCCGGGCGCCTGGTTAAGTGGGCTGTTCAGCTGAGCGAATTCGACGTGAGCTATGCGCCCCGACCAGCCATAAAGGCTCAAGTGTTGGCTGATTTTGTGGCTGAAGGGGTAGTTGATATGGGGAGCGGCGTGGAAGAGTGTTGGCAAGTTCAGGTGGATGGAGCCGCAAGTAGATCTGGTGCAGGAGCGGGTATTGTGCTAATTAGCCCCCTGGGCGCCATGCATGAAATCGCTCTGCGATTCGCAACACTTAAGACGAACAATGCGGCGGAGTATGAGGCTGTGTTAGCAGGGCTTCACATGGCAAGGGAGCTCGGCGCCCAGAAAGTTAATGTCCAAACCGACTCAGCACTGGTGGTCAATCAGTTGAACGATGTGTATGAGGTCAAAGAGGAGGCGCTAAGCGTGTACGTCCGTGCAGTCAAAGAAAAGTGTGCGTGGTTTCGGGAGGCGACGTTCACACATATCCCAAGAGAGGAGAATGCACATGCAGACGCCCTATCGAAGTTGGCCACGGCGCTGGACTTTGGAGAGGATAGAAAGGTGATAGTCACCAAAGAGGCCCCGCGAGAGGAAAGGGTGATGGCAAATTTTCTCAGAGAGGCATCGGATGGGTGGATGGCGCCCATTATGTTGTTCTTAACGCATGGGGTGGTCCCGGAGGACTCGAAAGAGGCTTGGCGCTTGAGAAGGAAGGCGGCGCGATGTGTCATCATGGAGGGAGTGC